CAAGAGGAGAAGGGGACGACAGAGGATGAGATGGTTGGACAGTGTCATCGAACAACCCACATGAATTTGACCAAAATCCGGGAGGCAGTGAGAGATAGGAGGGCCTGGCCAGAAGATACCACAAATGTGCTAGGTGCATACCATCCAGTATGACTCAATGCCCTCTGAAGGATCCTTTAATTAGCAGCCCAGATTTTTAGCTTTTTCATTATCCGGCTTTTGTATCCACATATAGTAACTGGAAATATCATAATATTGATGCTCTTGGCTTTGGTCTCTGGTGTTATGCCTTTCTACTTTAAGGATTTTTTTCTAGTTTTTTTGTATCTGCCCTTCCAAACCTCACTCTTTTTCTAACTTTTGGCAGCCTCTATTTTGATTAATGATTCTTTGCATTATTCCACAAATAGGATAAAGGAATATTTTAAAATACTTCACATGTGGTTGGCATGCACAAAATCTGTCCAAACAAGCAATTTTTAAAACACACAAATGATTCATTCTCCTTCTCTAGAATATAAGGTGAAAATATTTCCCAACATTTTTTCCAATAAAAATTAAGCCCAGGCTACTTTATTTGCAAACATAAGGTCAAAAAGAATATGTCTCACAGGTCTATTAATCATGACAGCTAAATTGGGCTTCTAGGCTACAAGACAGTAGCTCTTTTTTTAAAAAAAAAATACTTCTAGGCTGGAAGACAGTAGCTCTTCTTTTTTTAAATACCTGAGGTAGTGAAGTGAGGACACTGCCTTCACACTGACTTCTTGTGCAAGTTCCACAAGAAGGTGGTTGCCCCCCCCCACCCGGCAGGACGGATGCTGGACTACATGGTCCTTTGATTGGATTTTGTGCTTTGGTCTGATCTGTTCTTAACAAGCTGCTGCTTTTGTTTTCCAACCAACAGAGCACGAATTTTGCCAGCCAAAAGGCCTCAGCAAAGTATAATAAGTCCAGGGGAAGGAGGACAAAGTACAAAAGCGTGTTTCTGCTGGAGGATTTCTACACAGCCGCCTTAGAAAAATAATGGAACTGGGGAGCGGCTAGTTTTGTTTGAGCCCGAAAGAGGCTCCAAAAAAAGAGCATATGGGAACACCCCCTTGCTCGATACACCCCCCCCCGCCAGGTCTCTGGTGCTAACACACATCCCCTCAGCGCACCCCATGTCTAAACCACCTACTGGGCAAACATGGGGCCAAGTCGGGGCAGAAGCTAATTAACGAACCCCTTAATTATTCCTAAACGGTCTCACCATCACGACGGCAAAGGGTGTGGAGAAGTGTCCCCAGGCCGGGCGACTGCGCTTCAACAACCGCTCTCTTCGCCGCTCACAGACGTGGCAAATCGCTGCCGGGCTGTACGTACAGTGAGGGAACCCGGACGGACGGAAACACGGCCTCCGCACCAAGGTTCCGCCTACTCTTCGATCCCCTTCCCTCCCCGCCTCCCGTTGACTGATTTTCTCTGGTGTGGGTGGGGGTCGCGGGCTCTGGGCTTAAAGACACCCACTGCTTTTGCCTTTCTGCAGTTTAGTTCTTATCTCTACCGGGATAGTCACAAGCGATCGTCCTTTCCCTTCAGCTTGATGACTGGCACCTCAAAGCTGGCCGTGTCGCATCTCGGGAAGCTTTCAGTTCAAATGCTGACCGAGTCTAGGTTACAAGATTCTTCTCAGTCAGCCTCAGTTTCCATGTCATCAAATCTTAACTTCTGGATGATCAAAATTCTACCCCTCCATTCCATCAGGATGATATACTGTACATGGGATTTATAATCCCGCGCCAGTCCTGCCCACCACTTTGTAAGATATTTACTTATCCCAAATAACTCTGTCCTCTGCTACAGTATACCAGCTCACAATTAACGTACTGTAATAACACCAAACGTCCCAGGGCTTGTTGCTGAGTTTTGAATGTCTGGTTAAACTCCTTTACTTCAGTGGTTCCCAACCTTGGATAATTCGGATGTTCTTGGACTACAGCTCCCATAAACCCCAGCTAGCACAGCTGGCAGTGAAGGCTTCTGGAAATTGCAGTCCAAGAGCACTTGGTTTACCCAAGGTCAGTAACATTGTCCAGGAGGCTCGTAACATTGTCCAGGAGGCAGCAAGAGCAGAGATTCACAAAAAATAATAACTTCAAGTTTCCCAGAATAGACCACACCTTTTCCTTATCAACAAGCACTTACAGTCTCAGTAAGTCACCCGAGACATTAATAGCAGAAAGAATAAAAGGTTTCATTACTGACAGGTGGAATTGCACACTGACAAACATGGCGGTTTTCAGCATCATGTCTCAACAGACTCACTGCTTCCAACAGACTAAGGAGAGGGGGAAATCTCAGAGCAGAGAGAGGGGACTATCAGAGGCGGGAGGGAACAATTTGTTAGTGCTGGATAGATTGACAATCAATCACCCAAACCCAGAAAAGCCTCTCCCAGCTACACCTACTAGAGGCAGCATGTGAGGTTGCAAAAACTCCAAGAGGGCTAAGGTAGAGCACATGTACAAAAAAGTAGACATTAATAATATGCACAGTTGTCGGATTAATATTACTTTTCTACTGCCCAAATTATCTGTTCCTGTGGTTGATGGGTGTCATTAGCTGGTCTTTTGTGTGTAGTGATCCCCTGTCCTTGTGCGTGGGTAGAGTTCATTGACCCTTTGCACGTAGTATGTTTGATAGCTGGCAGCCAAGTTTTGTTGAGTTTCACACTTTCCTCCGACTGGGACACAAGGTCTACAGATGACGGCCACAGAGACTGGCGAAACGTCAGGAAGAACAACCTTCAGAACACGGCCAAAGAGCCCGAAAAACCCAGAACAACCAATTTTATTTCTTACTTAAAAAAATAGCAGCCATAATTTTTATGATAGAATATGTGTGGATAAAAACAAGGTGAAGAAATAAAAGTTTCTGTAGGAAGAAAATGTGATTTGGTGTTTTCCTTAATATTTCCAAATTCATTAATGTATTTTTTACTTTTCCCCCAAGAGGAACTGAAAGATGAGACAGCAAACAAATAAAACGGATTTTTAAAATAATGATCTCATTTCCAGATGCTGGAGTGTATTTTCAAAAAATACTTCTTATTTCGAAAGTGTTCTAAGTTTCAAGTCTTTTTATATCATCATTATCTATGCATTTTATTTGTAATGCAAACAACCTAGAAGTTTTATCATATACTAACGTCGTGATTGTCAGTTTGTAAGACCTGAGCTGTTAATGCTAGGACTTTTCGGGGGTCGGTATTATTTTGGGTTGCCTCTATAGAGCAGAAGCGACTTGACAGTAGTAACAGCAATGCAAGTGTACCAAATAAAACCTCGGCGTCCACGCTGCAGACATCTGAGCGTGCTCCCAGCAGTTTTCGAATTGAGATTTCACACCGCGTTTTTTGTGCCTGTTTAGAAAGTGCTGCGTAAACAATGTGTATAGAGCAATCGCTGATTTTTTTTTTTAATTTGGTAATTGCAGGTCGGTTTTGACAGAGAAACCTGTCCTTTTCGCTGCCCTCCTCCGTATTCTGTATGTTAACGTCAAGAGAATTCTCAGCAGGGTACCATGATTTATATGATATCGCCGCCTCGATCACGGTGGTGTCACGGTTGTCACTTAGGATGCAGGATGTTGGCAAACATCTGCAGTTTTACTGCAGTAGGAACAGAGTAAACCGCTGGGACCGAGAGCGAGAGTTGTTCTTGCTGTCTCTCCCCCCCCACCCGCTCTTGTAACTTGAGAGGCTGCAGATGTCTGTCAGTAGGTGGCGCCCTTTAGCCCAGCTGTAAGCTCTGACTATTGGCTCTATATAGTGAGATTTATATATATCCTATGATAACAGTGCAGGGGCTCAGCTTTTCCAGCGACTTCTAACCAGAGGAGGGGGTTGGGGGAGAGAGAAAAAAAACCCAGAGAGAGAGAGGAAAAACACTACCCACCGCCCCCCCCCGGCTCCCGGTGTCCTTTTCTGTCGCCATATTCTCCATGCAGATCTCCAGCCGCCCAAAGGCCCTTTGCTCAGGGCAGCGAGAAACTTCCCTTCGCTCTTAAAAATACCTCCGCTCCCAGCCGGCTGCAGCGAAGAAGAGATCGCCTTCCAAGGCCAGCTGCCCAAGATGACGAACATATCTTATCACATCTCCAACCTTCTGGAGAAGATGACGTCCACCGACAAAGATTTTAGGTAGGAGCCGAGCTGGGGTGGGGAGGGCGGGAATGGCAATAGCTGATGTCTTGCTAGGTTGGGTGGCGTGGCTTTTGCCAGCCGCCCTGGCAGTTGCCACACACGTGTTGGTGGGGTCTGGAAGGCTCGAGGTGGAGAAGAAGGGCAGCTAGAAGAGGAAGAGAGAGAGAGAGAGAGGCTGCACAACAGAGCCCCTCCTCCTCTTCCTCCTGCATTGCTGTCTGTGGTGTCCACAGGCAGGCCTGATGAAGCAGATGATAGAGTGTGCCGCAGGCATGGAGGGCGGCGAAGGAGGGTCTTGCATCTTAACATTTCCCTTGGTGGCCCTTAGTAGCTTCAGGTTAGAATAACTTCTTCATCTTGCTGCTGTAGAGCTGGAAGGAGCCCTATGGATCACCCAGCCCTGCCCCTGTCCAGGAGGCCCAGTGGGGGAATCGAACTCCCAACCTCAGGCTCTGTAGCCAGATGCCTAAATAACAGAGTTATCCGTGCACCCCTTATGTCTCTCCGTTGAGGGGGAGGTAGAGATGCGCTTCCAGACAGCTGTAGTGGGAGCTGGGGAGGGGGAGAGAGAGAGAGAGAGAGAATGCACTTCCACACAGCTGTAGTGGGAGCTGGGGAGGGAGAGAGAGAGAGAGAGAGATTATTCTGAATTAGCTATTAACTGGCCAGGAAAGGCTTGGTTGCTTTCCCTGAGGCGTGTAAGAAAAAGAAATGGGACATTGGGCGAGTAAGGTGTGAAACTGCCTCGTAAGGGTCACTAGGCCGCTTGTGCTTGTGCAGTCAGCCCAGTCTGGCACCGAGTGCCATTCAGGAGATGCCATGAACGGGAAGTAATAGGCAGGAAAAAAGAGCTGTTGGTCAGGGGTGTGTGGCGGAATCAGTGGCCAAATGAAAAGGCTGAAATTCAGCCCTTGGATACATGACAGCGCCAAGTTTGTAGCTCAGTATAGAAAATAATTAAGTCGGAGTATGCTATGTCTCAGGCCTGGAAGGGAATCCCTTCTCTGCCCATAGAATGTAGGACCTAAATTGGCTTAACTCCAAGCGACATGATTCTGTTTTATCCTGTTTGTAGTTTGGCCTCTTCCAAGAGCAGGGTTTTTTTTTTTTGTTGAATTATTTTGTTGAACAGCTGCATTGAAATCTAACCATACAAGCTTGATGCTGTTGGTATCACCAGACTCATAATACCTCTCCTGATTTCTTTCACCGATTTTGAACGCAAAACTTTTATTTTGTATTGATCAGGTACCACAAGTGTACTTGTAACCGCTCTCGTGAATTCAGTGGCTCCTACAGGTATAGCCAAGATAATGTTCTTTAATGGCACTCTAAACATATTAGAGATCCTGTGAAGGCTGTTGAGCTTGGTTCTGTTAATGCATTCATGGTGTCTCATTGTGTGTCAGAGCTGAGTATTATACAAGTTCACTAGAAGCAGGTGAAAGTATGTCTTACAAAATTACTCTTCGGCCTTCCTTGCCATACCTCAGAGATGAACTTTTTTTAAAATCTAATTTTGTGGATAAGGTTTGTTAAGTCTTCAGAGCCAATAGCACAACAATTAACTTTATAAATAAAATTACAAAATCCAAGCAAATATGAAAACAAAGTTCTAAAGCATGCTCTGATCTTTAAAATGTTGGTTTTGCAAATTTGGTTTATTTCTGTGGCATATGGTATCAGGTGAGTCCTTCAGGTAGTGCAGTCCTGACTCAAAAAATTGTGTTGGTTATATTGGTTTTAGAATGGCTCCTTATCCTGAAAGCCTTATGGCAGCATCTGATGGGCTTGTTCCATCGGTTAATATGGAATTAAGAGGAAGAGTGTTGGCTGCTGCTCTGGTAGAAGTCCCAGTCAGTGGCACCAAAGGCATGCCAAGCTGGGGAAGTGTCTCAGGGCTCACAAGGCCTAGGGTCCTGAGGTGTTCGCTAAAGTTAAGTAGATTAGTACAATAGCGCTTATTAGACCAAAACCCTTATACCGTAGCACAGTTAACAAAGTCTTGCCTAGCTGCAATGTGTAGGAGGGCGGAGTTTGTCCTGATTACCCAGTCTCTCAATGTACCTATCCCTCTGTTGTCCCTCTCATTATTTTATTGTATACCGTCTTTCTGTATGGATCATATGACCACAATAAATTGAAATTGATTGCTTTGTACTGAGTTTATGCCAGAGACCTGGGGAAAATCTCTTTCTTCGTACACGTACATGAATTTCCTGGAGAATTCGACTCTAGTTGTATCTCCCTAGTGGTTACATCATTACGTGAGCTTAACTTTGGTAAATTGAAGGATGAATTGCTACCAAAGGTCAAGAAACGATTAATCCACCTTATTATGTCCCTTGCTGAAAATATACTTGCCAGACAAGTCTTAATACAAAAGTATTAAATTATTTGTATATATGAAATAGTATTTATAGACAAGTATCACATTCTTATTTCATTACTGTTATTTAGGGCCTTTTCTTTTAGTTACATGCATGTTCGGTAATTTATGTTGTTAATTTTAGTAATCATATCTATAAATACTAAGATGATGCTCAGTTTCCTCAACTTGTAAGGCATTTCTTTTGCATTTTACTCTTAAATTGTATAGAAAAATAATTCCATAATAACCGGTAATTACATAGGCAAGTTTGTCTGTCTAATGAATTGACATTTGTGATAATTAATTTATCATCCTTAAATACCCCACACTTAGCTACTTTGGATTGATATTCAATGTATTTAAGTATACAACATTTATTAATGGCTGTGGTGCTTCTGATATGAAAAAAGAAGGAAAGCATAATGATATCTCCTGACAGCATGGAGGAGGAAGGCTTGAATACTATGTTTTGCCATGGGATTTGATTTATGTTGCTAGGGTCCTACACCACAAAACCTGACCTTGGCAGGGCTATGTGGATTGTTGCTATCAAGTGTAGAATTTCTACAAAAAGCATGCACACATACAGAGTGGACCTAAATATGTTATACATTTAACTGTTACAGGAAAGCACATCATTCATTCATTCATTCATTCATTCATTCATTCATTCATTCATTCATTCATTCATTCATTCATTCATTCATTCATTCATTCATTCATTCATTCATTTATATATATACTGTGCATCTAGAAAGTGTCTACTCTATAATAGATGGTGATTATTATTACACCCTTCTTCTAGCCAAAGGTGGACTTCTAAATAAAGAAAGAATTAAATATTGACAGGAGGGAAGGCCTGAACATACAACCATGTTTTTAGTTGACTCTTAAAAGTGCGCAGCGTAGGGGCCACACGAATAACTAGAGGAATGTTATTCCAGAGGCGAGGAGCCGCTGCCGAGAAGGCCCAGTTTCGTGTCCTTTCCTTCCGGGCCTCCCTCGTCGTTAGCCTCCTCAGCCTCACCTCCTGGCTTGTGCGGGTGATCTGAGTAGATCTTGGTGGGAGCAGGCGTTCCGCCAAGTATCGGGGTCCTAAACCGTTTAGGGCCTTATATGTAAGCATTAACACTTTGAAGTCAATGCGGAAACGGATGGGCAGCCAGTGCAGCATGGCTAGAGTAGGAGAGATATGTTGGTATTTTCTCACTCCAGTAAGGAGTCTGGCCTCTGCATTCTTCACCACCTGAAGTTTCCCCATCAGTCCACCTCTTATGTTTATGTGCTATGAGTAGTCTGTTGACTAGATAAGCGGGATATAAATTCAATAAATAAATAAATAAAATATATAGTACTGTATTTGATTTTGAGTAATTGCAAAACTTGGTACATGCTTCTTCATTCAAAACAATGGAAAATATTTAAAAGGATGTGACTATATAGCAGGGCAGATGCAAATGGATTTGCTGTTAAGTCACATCTGGGAAGTTGAACTCCCCAGGTTCATTTTCTTGAACTGACCACACATGAGTCAGCAAGAGTGGAGGAAACTTTTTTTGCAGCTTGTTAACTGTTTGAATGCTCCCCTACCCTCATGCCTGGGTCCCCTTGCATTGCTCTTCCTGTCCCATTCCATTTCTTTCCCTCTCTTTTTCTTGTTAATGGTTTGCTGTCATTTAATCAGCAGAGAAACAGGAGGAGGTTTTAACTTCAATCTTGTTTCCAGCTTCTTAAGGTAGTATTGTTCTGCTGTGGCAGATTTGCAGGAGGCACAGTTGGAGTAGAGCTTCCAAAAAAGTCTTCCCCCAACCCACCCTGCTGTGGTTGGCCAGCTGCCCCGGCACAAAGAAAGAAAGGAGGAAGGAAAGAAGGAAGGAAGGGGAAAGGGGAAGCAAATCTAGGCACCAGGTGTGGAGAGGAGAGAATTCAACTGTCAGCCAGTTTTCCTGCTGCCCTGCCTCTCTTGCTGCTGCTGGAACTGACTGGAATGGCTTGAAATACAAGAGCTATAAACCCCTCCACAGCAGCTCAAATGACACGCTCCCTGAAGGTTCCCCTTGATATTTAGTCCAGTCATGTTCGACTCTAAGGCGCGGTGTTCATCCCTGTTTCCAAGCCATAGAGCCAGCGTTCGTCCATAGACAGTTTCCGTAGTCAAGTGGCCAGCGCGACTAGACATGGAAAGCTGTTACCTTCCCACCGAGATGGTCCCTATTTATCTACTTGCATTTACATGCTTTTGAACCGCTAGGTTGGCAGGAGCTGGGACAAGCGACGGGAGGTCATTCCGTCGCGTGGATTCGATCTTACAACTGCTGGGCTTCTGACCCTGCAGCACAGAGGCTTCTGTGGTTTAACCCGCAGCGCCACCACTCAAAGGCTAATGGTAAAGGTACCCAAAGTAGAAGCCCCAGTGGTAGAGGGGGGAAAATTGATTTGCAGCGGCAGGGAGGGGAGAGATTTGAGGCTGATTTGCACTGAGTTTTATAATGGAAAATAATGATAATCAGACCATCCCTATCCCAAAGCACTTCTTGCATTATTTGTTAATGTAATCACACCTTAACCCTCACCCTACAGAAGCAGTGTATTCATGAGGTTAGCCTATAATGTTGTGCTGTGTACATACTTACTCTTCTTCCACTATTTCCCCCACATTCTACACATGGAAAGACTCTTTGTTTCCATTTTCTCGTATTATTATAATGAAAACCAGTAATGAAAAAACAGCTAATGAAAAAACACACTTTCTGTTCCACTTTCAGATGACTCTGAATCAACAAGGAAGCATTCCTATATGCTCCTTTCTGTTTATTCCTCTCTCTTATCCCCAGAGTCAGCATGGATGAGGAGAGAGAGAGCAACCAAGGGGAGAAAGTGGCAGAGAAAGAAAAGCTGTGTTGACAGTGTGACTCAGGGAGGCACAGACCAGTTGTAACAAACCAGCACTCTAATTTTGGCCTGTAATGGTAAAAATCTGATTCACCTGCCTTATAGGGAATGTCAGAATTCTTATTAAACATCTTATATGTGCAGTTGAAAGTGTGCTCATCTCGAAGGTCAGTACAGCCAATTTGCCCCCTTGTGCTCATTTGAGACATTTTGAGTTTGCCAAATATTCAGAGCATACATTGTCTGCTTCAGACCCTATTCTCAAGATACCCAAACAAAGGTAAAACAATGATGTTTGGGTGCAGGGTATATAAAAATCTAGTGGTTACAGAAATTAGGCAATACTGGAAACTGCAATTTTTGTATATTAATTAACTGTAGAATATGTATGCAGAAATTACCTTTTGAGATTGTTTGGTGGTATGTCTGGAGAAATACCACTGTTAAAATGTGAAGAAATAATATTTCTGCTTAACATTACATTTTTTCAGACAGGCAAATTACAGTTTGGTTTATGTAGCAATTTCAATACTTAGATCATTAAAATGTAAAGATATTTAAAGAGCAAGATATTTAAACTTTAAGGCCTTTAAAATCCCTCTGATCTCTGATCATGGTTTGGAAATAAGTGTAGGGATTCCCTGTACAGAGCTGAAGAAGACATAGATATGAAGGAGTTGTAGAATTATTCAAGTTATCTGTGTTACCTTGAACTCATTGGAAGGCAGAATATAAAACAAACAAACAAATGCCTATAGTGCATTCAGCTGTAAATAAACCACTGGAATTCTCCATAACAATGGCAGAACAGCCGGCTGCTACTCTAGCAGAGTTGCAAGTATGTGACAAGCTATTATTGATAAGAGCAGGTCAGTGAATGCAGCATACACAGAATTTGTATAGAGGTACGCTGCAGGGAAAATTGTGAGGTGTTGCTGTTTGGAATGCTTTAAAATAAATACATATTTCGAATCATCTCTTATTTTTGTTTAAATAGATTCTCTTTACTCCTTTAACTGTCAGGCAAGTCATTAAGTTGTTGTTAGTAAGAAGCCTCTTTCTTGGCATTTATTGTTTTTTCTTGCTGTCCCCACAATCAGATTTGTATTTGCCAGGTGTCCAAATTACTGCTGATGTTTCTTCCTCCAGGTTTATGGCTACCAATGATCTGATGATGGAACTGCAGAAAGATTCCATAAAACTGGACGAAGATAGTGAGAAGAAAGTGGTGAAGATGCTTCTGAAATTGCTGGAGGACAAAAATGGGGAGGTACAGAACTTGGCTGTCAAATGGTAAGGCCCTTTCCCATTAACAGCAGTAGTGCTTTGCATGTGCCATACAAGTGGCTAAGAACAACAACAACAACAACACAGAATTTCACCCAGTATTATAAGCAGTATCAGACTTCAATATTATAAGCAGTTCCAGATCTCAGAAATCACACCATGAAAGCTACCAAAAAAACGGCATTAGGAACAGCATACATACTGTGCCAATATTTAACAGATACTTAGATTTTTGGTTAAAACTTGTGTCTGTTATATAATACCAGTCAATGTTTTTATAGTTATAATTGACTGTGCCTGGTATTTTATCATCATCATCATCATTTTAGAACTGCAGAGCTGGAAGGAACCCTATGTTGTATTTTATGATCTTATCAGTTATTTCTTTTAACTTTCTATGTCATCCTAATGCAGATTTAATTTCTGCTTTAGATGTTTGCTTAAATTAGGCCAGCCCAGCCCAAGAAAGCCCATGGATTATCACATTTCATGGACTAGAAATGTTTGTGCTTGCCTGTTAAGGAATGCACAGCTGGACCTTTTCCTCAGTGCATAAAAGCAGAAGGAATCACAGTTGGAGGAAAAATACTTTGGGGGGAGGGAACTACATGTGGGGATTTTGTAGTTTAGAGCTCCATTTTGTGGTTGTTTAGGGATACATCAGTGATGTTTAACGTACAGCTCCTAGACTCCCCTAGTTTGCATGCCCACTGATCATACTAGCTTGGAGATTCTGTGAGCCATAATCTCAAAGTGCATGTTTTCCCAGATCTGGGATGGATCCACTTGGAGGATTGAGGGAGGGGAATATTAATCTTTGGAACCAGCCTCCAGTGCTATAAATCCACTAACTTCTCAGAGTTGGGGAAAAGTTTTTCTAGAAATAATTTTCAAAAAGTGTCTGGCTTGGGGATTCTGAAAGATGGAAAGTAATGTCTTCCATCTTTCCTCCCCCCTCGATGCCTCATCCATCTGTGCTTTTTTAGCACAGAAGGCAATAGATGAGAGGGGAGGAGGTCTCAGGAAGGACACGAGGCTATTTCCCTTGACTTCCCATCCCCTAACGCTGCCCTAACTTCTCCCTCGGCAGGGAAGTTCCTGGTGCAAGACTAGAAGGGAAAGGAGTTTGGAAGGCAGGTTGTGTGCATTTCCTTCACAGCTGCTGTCCGTTTGGAAAAATGTCTTTGGGGAAGGCATGTGATTTTTCTTCTTCTTTTCCTTCCTCCAGTTTAGGCCCTTTGGTGAGCAAAGTGAAAGAGTATCAAGTGGAAACCATTGTCGATACGTTATGTACGAACATGTTATCTGATAAGGAACAGCTCCGGGACATCTCCAGCATTGGGCTGAAGACTGTAATTTCTGAATTGCCTCCTCCGTCTACAGGTTAGAAAATCCAACCCTTCCGTCTAGCTCATCAGGAAGGTTTGTGATCTTTTTGCCAGCCTGTGTAAAAGACAGGAGACCACGTAGAGCTTGTGGTTCGGTACAGTTCTTTTTTCAAATGTTGTCAGTTACAAAATAAAAAAAAAAATCACATCCCAAATGAAGAGGGTTTAGACCAGACCTGGGCAAAGTGTGGCCCGAGGGCCACATACGGCCCACAAGCCGCTCCTGTCCGGCCTGCGGACAGTTTTGAACATCAAAACCATTTATAGCTTTTTGTCTAAAGTTGATCAGTTGCTTACCTTTAACATACCGCAAAAAACTCTTTAGTATTTCTGAAGTTTAAAATAAAAACAATCATAACATTACTTGTCATTTTACTTTTAAGTAAGTTGGTTTGGCCCCCGAACATAGTTCAGATTTTCCTTGTGGCCCCTCATAGAAATTAATTGCCTACCCTTGGTTTAGACAGAACTATGGGATGGAATGGCTGTAATTCATACGGGCGTAGAAGACAAATTTCACCACACATTGGTGAGATAAGAGAAGAAGCAGTTTTAGCGAAACCCATCTTTGCGAATAATTTCTGGCCTCCCACCAAACCGTTCACAAATGATGCTGTTCATGTTTTAAGGTGCATTCATGGCTTGAAGAGTAGTTGTCATATTTGCCAAGGTTCCATGATTCATCCAGATGTTAAAATAGAAAACTGGGGCTATGGGATGACTGCAGAGCCACCATATTGAATGAAGTGTGCTTCTGCCTAGGCACAGAAGAGACGCTGACAGTTCACTATATGTAGTGCAGGAACTATACGTTGTATTCACGAAGGCTTTCACGGCCGGGATCTAATGATTGTTGTGGGTTCTTTGGGCTCTTTGGCCGTGTTCTGAAGGTTGTTCTTCCTGACGTTTCGCCAGTCTCTGTGGCCGGCATCTTCAGAGGACAGCACTTTGAAGAGGCCGGCCACAGAGACTGGCAAAACGTCAGGAAGAACACAGCCAAAGAGCCCGAAAAACCCACAACAACCAGAATTGTTAGCATACATAGTAAAGGAGCACTATTTGATTTAGTTTCATCATAGTTAAATGCCACCTCTAGACGAACTTATAAATTATTTCCTTACAGACATTAATAATATCAGAATTCTTATATCCTTTACTGTATATGTTTCCAAGCCTCATTATTTTTTCTCCCAAATTGTATTACCATAACACTTTAAGCAAACCCTCTTGACATTCTGCTTCCAATAATATTTTATGAATTTTGGTTACTGGTCCTTTCATGACCTTGTTTTGACCTAGGCTTTTCTTTTATAATGCAATTCCTTCATGTTTCATGAGTTCTTTACATTTACCATTTCTTTTTATCCCATCATTTGTCCACTGCTCTAATTGTGAAAGGCTGAACCATGATATTCTATTCATTTTGAACACTTTTAATTGCTCTTTATCCCCCATTTTCATAACCAAACTTTTATCCTAATAACTTTGTTCTGTCTGAATACATGTTCGCTCCTTCCTTTCAAATTTCGTGGGAAATTGGGTATAATGGAAAAATTCATGGGATAAGTGTTTTCCCATACTTATCCCAAATTAAATGCATACCTGTATTTTTAAAGAACAGATTTTCAGTATTTGTACTATATTCTTGTTATATAAGAATATGTGTGTTCAAATATAATTCTTGTTTATCCATATTTAACCACAGTGGTTTAATGAACTGAGCTATAATATCAAGCGTATGTCTTATTTGTTTGTCAGTATACTGTATTAGATATCCTTAAATTAGGAAACCCTAGCCCTCCTACTTTTTGAGACTTCTACCACCTCTTCTTGTTAATCCTTGATTTTTTAATCTCCATTTTAGAATCTATTAATCATGTTTTGCCAATATTTTAACACTTCTTCACTTATCTTTATTGGTAACATCATAATTTTTTTAAAATAAATCTTACATAAAACCTTAATTTTACATACTGCTATTCTCCCAAATCATGAAAACCCAATTTTCCTAAAATCAGCTAACCTATTTTTTATTTCTTGCTTCAGTTTTTTTTTAAAAAATGCTCCTCTTTTGATTTTTCTGAACTCATTGGAATGATACCTAATAGACTTTTGAATATTAATATCAGATTCTTTTATAATTATTTCTTTTTCATTATTATTAAAAAACATCATCCCTGATTTATGCCAATTTATCTGGAGCCCCATTGTTTTTCCAAATTCTTTAAAATATAGTTTTACCCTATCCATGATTTTTAATGGCTTCTCAATTGTTATTAAAGTATTATCAGCAAATGAACTAATGTTAACTCTGTCTTTAATACTAGTACCACAAATGAATGTACCTTCTCTAATAACGTTCACTAGCAATTCTGTAACTGAACATACAATACTGGGGAAAGGGGGCATACTGTACTTGTCTTGTACCCCACTGTAGGGATATCTGTTCTGTTGTCCCATCATTTACTAGCACTGCTGCAATATTCTCTGAATATAATCAGTCTACCATATCTTGAAATCATTCCCCAAAACCTAATCTTTTTATTATCATTTTTAATGTTGACAATTCCATACAATCAGTTGCTTTAAAAATTTCTAGTGAAATTATTCCTGCCTTCACCTTTTGTTTTTTATTACATTTATTATATTTAACACTCCTCTAGTCAGAGTTACCATTTGTCTTCCTATCATAAAAAGACTTTGATCGTCTGTGATATATTGAGTTAATAAAATTGTTCATTTTCTTTGCTAATATTGCTGTATACATCTTAGTGTCATTAAGGTAACAGGTCTGTAGGCTCCAGGATCAGTTGGATCCTTATTCATTTTTGGAATTAATATAATTAATGAATGTTTCCAAGATAATGAAATCTTTTCACCTTCCATTATTTTAATAAAACTTATTATTAAACTTAAGTTAAAATTAAATTAAATTAATTTTTTGTAACACTCAGGTCCCATCCCATCATTTCTGGAGTCTTTCCTACTTTTCATTTATTAATTCTTTCCTCTATATTCTTTTGCCTAACTGGTTGCTCCATCATATCTCTATCCACATCTTGAAGCCTGTTCCCCATATTTTTCTCTATATGTTCCCTAACTTTTCTCAAATAAAGCTTCCCCCATATAATTTTTGGTAAAACTCTTGAAGACTTCTAACTTCTCCTTCATCAAATTATATGTTTTGTGCCTTTCATGTTTAACTATTCCAATAACACACCTGGCTTTTTAAAATTTGCATGGCTCTGGGCATTGAATTTTTATTATTATTTGTTAAAAATCTATCTTCAAATATATTAACTTTCTCTAAACTTTCTCCATTTCAAAATTCTCAGCTTCTTTAATTGTTGTCTTTATTTCTAATGGGAGTTTTTATCTTTATCCATCATATATTTCCCTTCCAACAACAATCTATCCTAGATTAATTTTTATGAGAGAATTGCCTTCATTTCTAGTTTCATCCCCATCTCCCTCTATACCCACTAGGTTCTACCATGACAGCCAACGTCTGTAAAAAAATCACAGCCCAGCTGACCGGAGCCATAGGAAAACAAGAAGATGTGTCTGTGCAGCTTGAAGCTCTGGACATCTTGTCAGACATTTTAAGCAGGTATGAAAATCATTCCTTTTTATGCTGCGATGTAGCAGGTGCCACACTGTGCTGAAGAGAGCTTCAAGATGGGGTGGGAAAACTTTGGTCCTCCACGTGGTTTGGGCCTCCAACTCCTCTCCATTCCAGCCAGCATGGTTAACGGGGAGGAACTGTGGAGACCGAAGACCAAACCACCTGGAGTACCAAAAGATTTACACCCTTGCCTTGAGCACATCTATCACCTGTTCTGTACATACAGTCACAAAACTAGGACCTGTTAAATTCAACGGCACTTACTCAGAGGTAACTGAGCAGAGGATTGCAGATTAAAAATTAGATTACCAATGCAATTTTAAGGATGTGTACTCAAAAGTAAATTTCACTATGTTTACTGACACACACTTTCTAGATCAGGCTTGCAACATAAGTAGTAATAAAGCACAGTTGAGGGAATATGAGGCTCTCCAAATGATTTCAGTCTATATTTCCCATCCCCCCTCTATTAAACATGCTGTCTGTGGCTGATGGGAATTGGAGCCCAGCACATCTAGAGGGGCCACACATTTCTCACCCACAGAAAGGGGCCGCATTTGTGTGAGAAGCAGTCCTACCTCAATTTCTTACTGGATGTTACAGAGTTTATTAGATGGCCTTGACCTTGATTGTGTAATTGTGGCCTGACAGGCTACATAGTCGGGGAAAATTAACTCGGCTCACCCATCCTGGTGTTCCTTTGGGAAGGGTGGGGCAAGGACCATTAATAGAAACTGTGGTTTCTGTATCTTTTTGCAAACCTCCTGTTGTGAAAACGATTATTTCTTCAGTGCTGAAAGTGAATGACACACATTTTATTAAAAAACTGAACACCATAGTAGAAAATACTCATAACTTGGTTTTCATGAACTTCCTCTTGTGAACAAACTCTGTTAGGGAGTATGAAGAACAGAAGGGATGCATCTTTGTAAAAAGGTGAGGAGATGTGCTATGACATCTTCATAAAATTCCAGTAGACTGAGGCAAAATATTGTCTCTGTTTGGAGAGTATCTTCACTGATGTCAGTTTCTTCTGTCACTTGCTCCTGCTTGCAGGTTAGGAGGAACTCTGTACTCCTTCCATTCCTCCATCCTGAACTGCCTTCTTCCTCAGCTCACAAGTCCCAGGCTGGCTGTGCGCAAAAGGGCCATCATTGCCCTTGGTCACCTGGTCTTGACTTGCAACGGGAACATCTTTGCAGAGCTTATGGAGCACCTCTTAGCAGAGCTGAAGAGGAATAACTCCACTTCCACTACAAGAACATACATCCAATGTGTTGCCGGTATTAGCAGGCAAGCGGGACACCGCATAGGTAGGTGGTCTTGTTTGGATGTTTGTTTTGAAAAGACTTGCCACATATTCTTTGAACTGATGGCAAATGTCATTGCAACTGGTGTCCTAGGCCTGTCTCTTGTCCCTATGATCCCCATCACACCTTGTTTTGTCTTCTTGAGTAGGACTTGGAAGTTGAGTCATGGCAACTGGACACATCCCACCCCTGTTTTGTCTTCTTGAGTAGCTCCTGGAAGTTGAGTCGTGGCAACTGGACTTCTTTCTTGTTGGGTTGAAATGTTTCACTCCCCATCCAAGTAGCATCTTCAGTCTGAGGAGAGTTGGTAGGAGACCCCTGATATATCCTCCAGGTTGGTTTCACTTCCCCCTGGTCTGAATAGGCTCTTTAGATGGACTAAGGACTGGAGGTGAGTGAAAATACCACCTCTGCAGTCCTTCTCCACTCATTGTCATGGGCCATTAACAGTCGTTAGCAGTGGTCTTTCTGGTGTGTGATATTGATCTTTCTGAGGACTCATTTTGTACTGAGGAGATAGGTGGTTTGAGTGAGGGGTCAGGGAGGCCATGCACGTGCATATAGAAAATCCCTCACTCATCAGGAGTGGAGGCCTTAGATACAATCTGTCTCCTATTTATCATGCTGCCCTTTCATCCATCCCCAGAAAGATCAGGACCACACACGCCAGAAAGACCACTATTAAATACTGTTAAGGACCCATGACAATTGGTGAAGAAGGACTGCAGTGGTGGGCTTTTCACTCACCCCTAGTCCTTTGTCCATCTAAGGAGCCTATTCAGACCAGGCCGGGTGGGGGGTGCCAGAGTGAAACCAAAGTGGAGGATATGTCAGGGATCTCCTACCAACTCTCATCAGACTGAAGAAGCTACTTGGATGAGTAGCAAAATGTTTCAGCCTGATAAGAAAGTCCAGTTTCCATGACTCATCTTCCAGATAACCTCACCTGGATGACTGAGGATCTTCACAGATTCTTGACTAGGACTTTAACCTTACCAGAGATATATTTATAGGTTTCCCTGAATGCTCCAGTTGGAGTTTTTCCTTGTGCTGCTGTGCCACCTCTTGAGTAAATTATGATGTTAGGAGCAGTCAAAGACAGTTTTTAATGCTGATTGTTAATGAATCTTTTATAGAATCAGAGGGGCTGGAAGAGGCCCAGGTAGGGAGCCGACCTTTTGTATCTGACCTAAGAGGGAGCCCAGCTTTCCACCTGCAGTAAGATCCTACTCATAATAACCCACACAATCCTTATTCTGTAATAGGCTATATGGAAAGAATAGGAGTGGAGACAATATTCTCTGTCAAAAGTATCTGCAGAACTGATTGCTCCTGATGGCTCAAACAGAAGAGCCCAACCACAAGCGATAGGGAAAATCTTCATGTGGATGCTGGTAGGAATGAAAATAAATCCACGGGTGACTTTATAATGGAAACAAGGGATATCCTCTCTCTACAGCTTCCACTGCTTGTTTCCTTAGAGAAGGAAAATTTCAAACACAAACCATCATTGCATGCTTGTCTCTGGATATGGGCTCTTTCTGAAAAACTTGATATTCCAGATGCCCTTTCCAGTTCTTCTTCATAAAGAAATGAGGAGGAGAGGTGTCATATGTTTGGTATACCGTAACACCATGTTTCACCTAGAGCACTGGAATATTTGACAGGCACAGAACTGCCTTTTCATTTAACAAAGTAAGTTTTAATTTGGAAGAATGTCACTTGTTAATAGATCTATAGCCTGCTTTTATACTGTGTCCACCAATGGACTGATCACACCCATAGCTGTTTGGCTTCAGCTGTGTTGCTCTCAAGAGCTTTGAGACCATTCCATGAGGAAAGACATCTATTGATAGTTCATTCTGTTGTTGTCTTCTAGGAGATTATCTGGAGAAGATGATTCCATTAATAGTTCAGTACTGCAATGTTGAGGATGATGAATTGAGGGAATATTGCTTCCAAGCCTTTGAGTCTTTTGTGAGAAGGTTGGTTTCTTGATTATAGTCTGGATGTCTGCAGCAGACAAGGTTGCCATTTTTAGTTGGTCCAGTTCCCCATCAATTGCTGCTTAGGAATACAGCAGACCTCCTGAGCTACCTGCTTTGATTTTCCATGTTTGATCATGATTCTAGGAAGTATCTCTCAGCTATTCTTCAGTGAAGTTTCCTGGAAGGCCAGCCAGCCTCATTTCATCCTTATCTAATGGCTTCCTTGTGTGAAGTAACTGTACCTCTTAGAAAAAGGACCCCCCCTTGCACTGAAAAGGCATCTATTCAATGGCTCTAAAATTCTTCAGCTAGAAATTCCTCTTTTAAATATTTCTGCAGGGGAATCCTTGGGTGTTTCAATTAACCAGGTTTTATTTAATTAACCACCTTTTTTCAAGGAAGGAAGAGGATTGTGGTTTTGGAAGCAGATGATAGGGTAAGATTAGATCAGGTAGTGCAGAAAGAGATCCCACCCTTTGTATAGCGTTTTAAGTACGGTATGGAAAAACAAGAGAGATCTGCCCCTCCTGTCACCCAGCCTCAGCGCTCTAGTCGTGCCATATGAAGTCTCTGACGTGCCTCCAATCAGGAGTCCCAACTCCAGTTTTAAGACTCATTTCAGTTGGGTGGACGGCCGTTCTGGAGGTTCCAAGAACCAGTTTTCTGTCCCCAGAGAGCTGACCACATAAAATACCAAAAGATTGGAGGGCAATGTAGTCAGAATTGATGGAAGTACTGTATTATGGGTATGGAAAATTGGTAGTTTGGGTATGGTAGATCATAAAAAGGACCCCATGCAACCTATTTAGCAGATAAAAAGCAGCCATTCTACTATTTATGCTAGGGAGATTTTGGGAGGAGGGCCTGATAGATGCTGGGACCATTTGGGGCGCAAGGGATGGAAAACAGTGAAGGGAGATGTATGCAGTCCCTGGATTGCCCTTTGCCCACCCTTATAGTAGAAGTAGATGGATTGTGTGTCTGTTCCTTTGTACCTATTTGTCCAGAACACTTAATTGAAATGTACAGAAGGCACTTGGAGATGTCCTGGGCTCATCCTTGTAACCACTCACCGGAACACAGTGGATGTGTTGAGAAGTGTTTTGGGGTATTTGGGGTCTGAGGGACATCAAGCTTTCATCTTGTCAGGAACAGTTAATCAGCTGGTTGCTTGGAAAGTACCTGGGCATTATAATCCATGTTAACCTGAGATTTTGTTGGTTTTTTCTCAAGGTGTCCAAAAGAAATTGGCCCTCACCTTCCAAGTGTGACTGGATTGTGCCTCAAGTATATCACTTACGACCCAAACTACAATTATGACAATGAAGATGATGATGAAGAAGAAATGATGGAAACTGAGAATGGGGAGGATGAGGAACAAGGTGCTGTGCACACTGAGGAGGAGGAGGAGGAGGATCAGAGAAGTCAGGCCTTTTATTGCCTGCAGCTCAAAGAGCCTTTTCAAGCTTCTCTGTGTTTTGCCTGAATTGTTCAGTCCAAAGACTGGCTGAAAACTCTTTACCTTTCCCTGGCCAGCAGCAAATGAAAAGCTTAGTATGGTAGAGTGTAGCTTAGTTTAAAAATAATTTTTTTTTATTAAGCTTAATCACATTTACAGATGCTATTGAAATGGCAACTCCATCACCTCTTAGCCTTGGCTGTGTTGGCCATGGCCGATGGGAATTCCAGCCTGTCACTTCCCGGGCTTTGGCCTTTACCCTATTTGAGCCAGAGAGGCCAGGTGCTCTGCTTGGTTATGATTAACTTCCTTTCCCAAGAACAGTGGCCATCAGTGACCATTCTGGCCAGCAGGAAACCTGACTGAGCACCCTGTTCTCCCATAGGGAGTTCTGCTCTCAGCCAGTTTGCGTAGCAGCCAGAAGAAGGAAAGGACCAGTGATGACCTTTCTGCTTTTTATGCCTGGGATATAGGGCCACCGTCCACTTCTCCCCCTGCCCCCATATGTTATTCTGCATATTGAGCAATGTTCAATGTTTGTTTATGGTTCTAACCAGGCAGAAAATCCTATATGAAGGTTAAATCATAAGATTTAATATCATTATGTACTTTACTGATGGTTTTGTTCACCTAGGTTAAAAGAGGAAAATTGTGTGTGTACACACACACACACACACACAGAGAGAGAGAGAGAGAGAGAGAGAGAGAGAACCATTCGATTTCAAGCAGTCAACCCCAATTTCTCTGTTTTAATGACACTTGGTCTTACCTTTACCTCCTTAGAAAGTGATGATGAATACAGTGATGACGACGACATCAGCTGGAAAGTTCGCAGGTCTGCCGCCAAGTGCCTTGAGGCGATCGTCAGTACTCGGCACGACCTTCTGCAGGATTTCTACAAAACCCTCTCGCCAGCTTTAATCAGCAGGTTCAAGGAAAGAGAGGAGAATGTTAAAGCAGACATCTTCAGTGCTTACATATCTTTGCTGAAGCAAACGCTGCCCATTCAGAGCTGGCTGCACACGTCAGACGACACAGGCAAGGAGGACATCCCTCTCACCATGCTCCAGAACCAGGTGAGCCGTGGAGCCAGGAGCCGTCCGTGTATATGAAGAGGCAGGCTTTGCCTACCTTGCAATTGGGAAGGCCATGGACAGGCCGGGGGTGGCCCTCAGGCCTTTTTTTTGCAGCCCATTGTGGGCTGTTTTTGTGGGTTTGTCTCTTCCCCACTTGCTGCAAGAGCAGCATCTCCTCTCCCCTTCTCTGTCCTGCTCTCCTCAGTGAGGGACACAAGAGGTCCTTCTTCGTGGCCATTTCAGATAGTGGAAATAAGGGAGGCTACCCTCTCTCTTCCCTGAAAAGATATCTTTTTATTCAGGCTTGTTTTTTGGCAACTGACTCTCTGCTGAGAGAGGGAATTTTTAGCCCAAGTGGGTGCCCTACTTTTTTTATTGATGTGATTTTAAGTTGCTTCTGATGCAGGTTATGTTTTAATCTTACAAGTTGTTTAGCTTTGTTTTAATCTAATGTATTTATTTATTTTGTCTCATTAATAGTATTTCTTCTCTTTGGAGCCACTATGAGCCCCAGTTTTAAGGGAAAAGGACTAAATGAATCAAATAAACGCATTGACATAAATAGGGGAATGAGGGTCTTATGACCTACACTGGGAAGGCTCTGTGGTGCAGGAGGCCCCTTTGATGGACAGTCAGTTTTGTCTCGTGCACAATAGCCTATTTCCATTTTGCCCTAAGATGTCCCTGAAAGAGATAAGAACCTTATAGGCACCAACGAGACCCCTCCCCTGATGCAACCACTGTCGTTCCTGCAGGCTCCCAGGAACATAGTGAGGACTCTTGTTTTTTTTGCCCTAAAAATTTTGTGACTTCAATGGGGAGTTCTGGGGCTGCAAAGGTGGCCTTGAGGGGCTGCCTTTTTCTCACAAGCTGTGTGCTGCCCGCCCCTGTTCTATCAGGAGTAGCAAATTGAATACCGTTATTACATAAGTGAATTGCACAATAGCCTGGTAATGACATTTGTTGAGATCCTCTGTGATTCTTGCTTGATTACTTATTCTTAGCCATGGGCCCATCCATGCATTATGAAACGAAGCCGCAACTGCCATTTAAAATTAGTGTTTGATGTCACACATTCAGATCTTGATTGACTGACAGCCAATCACGGATTATAAAATAATATGCTGTGTGCAGATTGAGAGTCCAGAAAAACAGTTCCACACTGATTCTGAACATATTTACACGTTAGTATATAAGCACCAGTTTTTTTAAAAAATGCCTGTCTTGATCTGATGGTCCTAATGTGTGGATTTTAAGGAGACTTGTGGTACCTCTGAAAGTGGTTGTGATTCCCGCTGTGACTGGAAGCAAAATGGGTGCCAACACTGGCTTGGCTACACAACCTTGGCGTGGTGCTGCACGGCCCGATGCTCACACAGCTTTAAGGGAACGTTGGCTGCCATGATTTGGCAATTTCATGTATGCAAGTGTAAATTGCTGACCTGATTCTGGCTATCTTCTTTGAAACAGCAATTTCTATAAAGTTATTGCTGGAATGAAAATAAGGTCACCTCATTGTTCACATCAATGAATAATAATAATTGTAAAAAAAACAGTGCACAGCTGCACGCCTTCTTATGTAACGGAGCCTCTTTGCTGATGGGATCACGTTCCATTTTAATGCTAAATTATTAACACAGCCTTAAGTTCAGATGGTCTGCTTGTGTTTGGTTACTGAGTTTCTTTCTCATCTTACAGGTTCCAAACATCATCAAAGCCTTGCACAAGCAGCTCAAAGAGAAGAGTGTCAAGTCCAGACAGGGCTGCTTCACCCTCCTGACAGAGTTGGCCAACGTTCTCCCTGGCTGCTTAGCAGATCATGTACCTGCCCTCGTGCCTGGTAAAGTTTGCCTTTGAGGTGGGAGGACAGAAGAGTGGGAAGTATTTTATTCCAGAAACGTCTGCCCCCCCCCACCGAGTGCTTTCTAGCTGCACAGGGTTACAACACACACCACAGACCTCCATGGTGATGTCTAGAGATGATAATTATTGTTATCTAATGCATCTGGAAGGTTGCAAGAGGCAGGTGTAGAACATTGTTTTTTCACTCTTATATGTGAAACATCTAGCACTATGGCAGTGGCCTCTTTTCAGTCCTATTCTCTTAATTCCTTAGTTTTCTTTTCTTTATACAAGTCCATGGATATTTTGCTCTTGGCTTAACTGATGTCAAAATTTGGCACTGAATTTGGAATAGCTGTTTTTTTGGGCTACAGCTTCTAAACCCTCAGCCAGCTGGACCAGTGGCCACACCGGCTATGAGATTTTGGGAATTGTAGTTTTTTTTAAAAAGGTAACTCTTCCAAAATCCATTCACCTCAAAAGTCAGTTTGAACACCACATATTTGTGGTGGACTGGTTTGAAGTTGCACACTTGCTGCTCAATTTTGTGTGTACTCTGGAATAATTTCAGGGATTTCTTATCCCTGCTAAGCCAGACTTCTTCAAAATGTTGCCATTAGAGGCACACTCTCCAGTGTGACTGGATCATTCAGTCACTCCCTTGGCAGAGGGACTGAGCATTCCTTTGGGATCTGCTAGGGACCCAATGAATTGGGTCCTCCCCCAAACTTTAAAAAATGGTTTAATGTGTTCAAAATACTGTATTATTACAAAAAACAGATCAAATCTATCAAATGTATTCTCCAAACAGGTATTGTTTTCTCCTTGATGGATAAATCCAGCTCCTCCAACATGAAGATTGATACACTGTCGTTCCTCCATGTCGTTCTTTGCAACCACTCCCGGGAAGTGTTCCATCCCCACATTAAGGCCCTGCTCCCACCCGTGGTGACTTGCATTGGGGATCCTTTTTATAAGATCACCTCCGAAGCTCTGCTCGTCACCCAGCAGCTTGTGAAAGTCATTCGGCCTCTGGACGTGCCTTGTACATTTGATGCCAAGCCTTATGTGAAAGACCTGTTTGCAGCTACTCTGAAGAGGCTGAAAGCTGCCGACATTGATCAGGAGGTGAAAGAAAGAGCTATTTCTTGCATGGGACAAATTGTTTGCAATCTTGGAGATTATCTATGCAGTGATCTTCAGCCAACTTTGAAAATTTTTCTGGAGAGGCTGAAAAATGAAATCACAAGACTGACCACGGTCAAAGCGCTATCTTTAATTGCTAGTTCTCCACTCAAAATAGATTTAAGGCCTATTCTGGGGGAAGGCTTCCCCATTTTGGCATCCTTCTTGCGTAAGAATCAGCGTGCCTTGAAACTGAGTACCTTGACCGCCCTGGGCATCTTAATCAAGAACTACAGCGATAGCCTCAAGCCTGCCATGATTGACTGTGTTCTAATGGAGCTTCCAGATTTGATTAGTGAGAATGATATGCATGTTTCCCAGGTGGCAATCACGTTTCTGACCACCTTAGCTAAGGTCTATCCCTCTTCCTTGTCCAAGATCAGCGGCACAGTTCTATCAGAGCTTTTTCAGCTGGTTTACTCTCCCTTGATGCAAGGAGGAGCTCTGAATGCTATCGTGGACTTCTTTCAAGCCTTGGTTGTAACCAAGACAGTCAACATGAGCTATGCCGAACTGATGAAGCAGCTCACAAGTCCCATATATTCCTCAAGCCCTGCTGGGATGTCTGTTAATTTGCACAAGCAGGCCTACCACTCTGTCGCCAAGTGTGTGGCGGCTCTTTCGTCCGTCTGCCCCAAAGAAGCACCCGGGGTAGTCAGCCAGTTTGTTCAGGACGTGAAGAACCCTAAGTCCAGTGCTGCTGTGAAAATGCTGGCTTTCCTTTGCCTGGCGGAAATAGGACGCACCACAAACCTCAGTGCTCAGAAGGAGCTCAAAGTGGTGATCTTGGATGCCTTTGCTTCGCCCAGCGAAGAGGTGAAATCTGCAGCCTCCTATGCTCTGGGGAATATCAGCGTTGGTAGCCTTAAAGAATTCCTTCCCTTCATGCTCAAAGAGATTGGGGGCCAACCCAAGCGGCAGTACTTGTTGCTCCACTCCTTGAAGGAAGTGATCAGTTCCTCCTCAGCAGACAGCCTGAAACCCTACGTGGAGGACATCTGGGCCCTGCTTTTCAAGCACTGTGAGTGTGCGGAAGAAGGGACACGCAACGTCGTTGCCGAATGCTTGGGGAAACTGACTGTGGTGAATCCTTCTCAGCTGCTGCCTCGGCTGAAGAAGCAACTGTCCTCAGGTAGTGTGAAGAAGAACACAAAACAGGACGAAAGCAGTTGTAGTTCTCTGGGGCAAGATGGTTTGAGCACTGTGCAAATAGTTTCAAGATATTGTGTTGTGATTTATTTTATTGGAGGGTATGCAAGGGACGTGGTGGCGCTGTGGGCTGTATTTTATTGGAGGGTATGCATGGATCACCATTGCCAGAATTCTTTTACTTTCCTAGCGTGGGCTAGAAGGTTTCGCTTGGATGGGCCACATGCTGTATTCATTGCTGTGCACTAACATTTGGGAAAACTTGCCCAGAAATATGGAATCATTAATTCTAACATGTTAAAATGTTATTGATAATCACACAGTCCAGAAGTACAGTGGTGCCTCGCTTAGAGATTGCCTCATTTAACGATGTATTTGTTTAGCGATGAGGTTTTAGGAGCGATCTTGCGCTCCGTTTAGCGATATTTCCAGTGGGGGAATTTCACATAGCGATGTTCGGGACCATGGCTCGCATAGCGATGACCGTTTGGGTCCCCCTGTTTCGCTTAGCGATGTCCGTTTTTGCTATTTTTAAAGTGTCTTAAAATGTTCGATCACCAGTGCCAGAATTCATTTACTTTCCTAACGTGGGCTAGAAGGCTTCGCTTGGATGGCCCACATACTGTATTCATTGCTGTGCACTAACATTTGGGAAAACTTGCCCAGAAATATGGAATCATTAATTCTAACATGTTAAAATGTTATTGATAATCACACAGTCCAGAAGTATATGATTCTAAATGTGTTCATCAGGGAGTGAGGGTGAAAAGAAAAGAAATGAAGGGAAAAGACCAGTTTCAAAGTTATAATTTGTTGTTTGCCACTGTATATGATTCTAAATGTGGTCATCAGGGAGTGGGGGTGAAAAGACAAGAAATGAAGGGAGAATACCAGTTTCAAAGTTATAATTTGTTGTTTGGCCTGCTCCCATTTTTAGAATTGTGTTGTAGAATGTTGATTTGCTTTACTGCTTAATATCATCCCTGTATTCTCATGCAGTGATAATTACTGTGTTCCTTATTAGTCAGTGATATTTCTTCTCTTCTTTTGTTTAGGTTCCCCATATGCTCGAAGTACTGTAGTTACCGCAATCAAATTCACAATTTCAGATCAGCCTCAGCCTATTGATCCTCTTTTGAAAGGATGCATAGGTAATATTTGATTTTGAAACTGCTGTTTGAGATCAGGCATTACTAGTCTTAAGACTTCAGATGCATATAAACCCCACAAACTAGTAATAGGAGCAGTACATTAAGTTTGCTTTCAAGACTTTCTGGAATACAAATTCCATTAAATGAAAATAAAAATGAGGAGGGTACATTTGCTAGCCATCATATGTGAAACTGGAAGGTTAAATGCTTGTATATAGAAGTGGAGGGGGGGCATGTGGACTGCATGCAATCCCCACACCATTTTGTAGTCCCATTGTTTTTGGTATATGTTACAAATGGTGCTCCTGAAACTATGTTTCTCCTTGAAACCAATCTATGTGGCCCTGGTGCATCCTGTTTTGCTAAAGAAAACAAGGGTTTTGTGCAGACTTGCCAATTTTGGTAGGTGGCACAATGTGGCCTGAAGTGAGTCTGAGCAGGTGGGAAATTAGACCCTGGATCTCTCAAAATGGCTCATTTCTGTTTTAAAGAAACAGCTCTCTCGCTGTCTCTTGTTTGTTTGTTTGGGGGGCCGTTAAGAGCACACCTTTGGAAAATGGAAATAGCTCTATGAACTTCCAAGACTTCCTGTTAAAATTACAGCGATTATGGTGGTGGAGTCATAAATTGTTAAGGGTGTCTACTGAAAAAAACAGTGGAAAAAAGAAACTTAGAGGTGAAAGGAGACGCAACTGCTTTAGACACTGTCCTTGGGATCGGAGAAAGGCCTACCCTGAGGTTAAACACACTTTCCACTATGCAACTCTGCCCCTGTCTCCCCCCTCCCCCAAACTGTCAAGCAATAAAGCATTCACATATTGTTTTAGACAAAGGCAATGAAACAATATACTGTAGTCATTCAACACAGGATCAAACACACTTCAGTTGTGGCTTCGTCTTAATGGCAGATGTTTTCAATTATGGCTTCATCTTCATGAATTCACTTCTCTCCCCCTCAGTATTGCAGACCCCTGTGCCATACCGCATTCTGTTCTAGTGAGTTCCAGATCTTCTGGCCCACTTTTGTGGTGGGGTGGGCTGCTTAAGATGCCCTGAGCTCAACAAGAGGAAGCTGAAGCAAAGCTATCAGTGGATACAACCAAACTTTTTTTTTGCAATACAGTGAGTTTATAATAAGGAAGAGCTCTCTGATCTATTTTCTGTCCATGTCAGCACCTGGAGTCCAATACATCTGGAGAGCACTAGGTTGCGCAAATTTCTTGCAATTTGTTCTTGCTACGTTGTGACAAAGCACCACAGCCACGTTTGGACAGTAGAGCCTCTGGATTTGTGTACATGTTTAGACCTCCAGCCCCCTCCTCATTACTATACCCACGCAAGCAGCAACACAGCTGGAGAAGGGTCCTGCTCCACATGTGAGCAAGGATCCAGAGCTTCCTAGACTCTTGCTCCTTCGTAGAACTCATGTGCGAGCAAGACACTTCTCTGCCATCTGCTGTTTTGCCAGCTGTATCCCGGCATCAGAGAACATTATTTAGCCCCATTCCTTGACCGCAAGAGAAAGTGGGAGGTCGTGGGACATTAACAACACCCTAAAGTTCTGTCTACAAGGTTCCAATCAGTTTGTGACTGAGAGGTGCCCTCTTTGCAGGTAAAGCAGCTATTCTCAGCAAGGAAGAAAAATAAAGCACATCTGTTTAAATGAGCCATCTAATAGATTTTATCCTTATTGGGATTTTATTAAAATTGTAACTTTTATTTTAGTATAATTAATTGACTAAATAAAATGTATATTAATAACTAAGTAAAACATATGAAAACTAAAACATTTAATAATTTTAATGCTTTGTTTTAAATTATCGTGTTAAGTTTGACAAGTTGAGTATCTACTGGGTTTTTTTGTTTTCATTATAAGTTTATTGCATTTAAATTAAAACACTCTGAAGGTTTATTCAATAAAATATCTATCTTCACACTTGTTGTTACTTATGTGAGTAAAGTATGTCCAAGCTCGGGGCTCCCTCTAAATGTGAGCGCTTTCCTAAAGGATATGATGCTTTTAAAAACAGTTGTTTTTGCATTCTTACATATAGGTGACTTCCTGAAAACTCTTCAAGATCCTGATTTGAATGTTCGGCGTGTTGCTTTAGCTATGTTTAATTCTGCTGCTCACAACAAACCTTCTCTAATCCGAGACCAGCTCAGCACAGTCTTGCCCCACCTGTACAATGAAACAAAGATCAGAAGGGAACTCATACGAGAGGTACGGACCTGGGATGGCACTATCCCTTGCAATCTTATCCTTAAGACCTTGCCTTTCTCTCTGAAAATGCATGTATATATTCTCAGGGTAAAGCAGACAGAGTTATTTGGATTAATTCTATAGTAGGGATTTAACTTAGTTAAAATGTTTCAATTATTATAATTTATTGTAAACAAATTATTGTAAATTTTTAGTGATACTTTTAAAAAATCGATCAGGTAAGCATTTTTCTTAACTCTTTCATTGTAAGAAAAGTGGATTTTAAATTTTGGATAGCACGAAGAAACAGGTGGTGTGTCCTGCAAGTTAAAATGGAGTTCAAAACCAGAATTTGGAAATTTTTGGGTTGTTGTTGTTGTTGTTGTTGTTGTTTTGTAATTGAGCGGAAATACATGTAAGAGTGTCTCATAATCTCCCAGCTGCTGTGTGGGAGAGCCATGTAGTCCAAAAAGTAACTTCTCCAAAATTTGTTCAAAACCCAACTCATTCATAAACTGCTAAATAGTTTGTTCATCAGATAAAGGATGATACTTGGTTCCTGCCAAATGGTCTTTATGTGTATGTACAGTAGAATGAGAATGTACATAATCAATATAAAGTGTAGTAGGAATATTTTTGAAATAGAGGAAACAGGCAATAACAGCATAAAATGAAGGGGAGAGACAAAAATAACCTTCCAAGAGGGCATATTTAAATAGTTAAGTGCGAATTTTGATAGGGAAGAAAGCAACCACCCTGGGGATTTGCAATATACCTGTTGGAAGAAGAAGAGCACAATTGTTGTGTACCACGTGGGGAGCCTTTCCCTGGTTGGTGTAGCATTCAGCCATCATTTTTAAGGACTAAGTGTTCCTATGGCTGGGCTTTCTGAACACCAAACAGAGCGATCTGAGACCCCTGAAAATCAGGTGAGTGAGTGAACCAGCTCCCTGAGATGAAGCCCTGGGAATAGGAGAACTAGAAGTAAAGTCTGTAGGAGGCTTGTTGGAGAGGGCATCCCACTTCTAGCTGGCTTTGAAGTTTTAAATGTTTTGGACGTCCTAGTCTAAATGGCAGGGAAACATCTGTCAGTCTCTAATCTTATCTGAGGGAGATTAGCATCTCTGAAACAAGGTCTTGTAGCACCAGGGATTGCTGCTACCCTGTTTTCCTGATAATAAGCCCTAGTATGATTTTTCACGATGTTCGTAATATAAGCCCTACTTCAAAAATAAGCCCGTTAAGTGGAACCCCACCCTCCACCCTTGTGCAGCAACCCAAAATTGACATGAGTGTATTTAGATTGTTGTGCATGAAAAAAAAATAAAACATCCCCTGAAAATAAGCTCTATTGTGAAAATTAATAAAGACCCTTTATTTTCAGGGAAACACGCTATATCAGTAGGACTGAAATTGCAGAAGTACAAGACTCCAATAGATTAGAGAAGGGTGTTGGGCAGCACAAGGCAAGGGGACACATGGATGGGACTGAGTAGGGAATTGTGACAAAAGTGTTCTAGATTATGACGCTATTACTATTATGAAACCAACTGGTTGATGCGGATACTGAACTGCTTTGTCTATTTTTGTTTGTTAGAGATGGCAATTATCTCCCAGGACTAGGATGCAAGGCAGTTTATGATAGATTTTTTTAAGTATCACTAAAAATTTACAATAATTTGTTTACAATAAATTATAATAATTGAAACATTTTAACTAAGTTAAGTCAGTTATTCTTTTGGTTTAAAACACTGTGAAAAATCTGAATTAAAACAACGGTTTGCAATAAAAAAGCAAAGGAAATTAGCGGAACAGTTTAAAATCTTTGTCTCTTGTTAGGGAGGCAGCCTGTTGGCCTGATCCAGAACAGCTTCCTTTGCAGTTGGTTTGGCTGTATAGAAGAGTTTTTGCACCAGTTTCTGTGCTGATCCTATATGAGTTCCTGTTTACCCTGTTGATAAGAGAGCCTTTCTTCCTTGTTAAACAAGCAGCTGTTCTTTCTTTCTTTTTTTAGGTAGAGATGGGGCCATTTAAACACACTGTAGATGATGGCTTGGATGTGAGAAAAGCTGCCTTTGAGTGCATGTACACCCTTTTGGAAAGCTGCCTTGACCGACTGGACATTTATGAGTACTTGAATCATGTGGAGGATGGCTTGAAAGATCATTATGATATCCGGGTAGGCCAATCGTTTTTGTTATCATCCTAGGGTTGAAACCTGTGTTTTTTTTGCTTTTCACTAAAAAGGGCTAAGCAGCTCTTCAGGACAGTTTGGTGAGGCCTGTTTCCCACCTCCGTTGCAATGTGCAGTGAGAACAGGGTCGTTCCCTTCATTCCCAGGCCTAAAAGGGACAGTTGTTGTTGTGGTGGTGGTTGTGGTCTTCCATGGCCCTGAAAGCTGAAACCCTTTTCTCCAAAATAGGACTGGGCAAAGTTTGCTCCCTCTACAAATGTTGCTGTACTGCAGCTAATGGTGAATACTGAGAACTGTGGTCCAGCATTTCCTGTAGGGCTGCATTTCACTGAGATTTTAAATTCAGAACATCTCTGTTCAGATTTTTACTTTGATTCAGGATGGCAGGATAGGGCCTTGTTCCCGTTATCACTCTTGCCATGGGCGTGTTGGGAGAGAAGAGCTGAACAGAGATTTGATATCATTTGCTCCTTCCAGTTTATCTTAGAAAATGTGGAAGACATTTTCCAGTACAGATTTGGATGCTGGAGGTTGCTTATACCAGTTACACAAAATACAAAAAAAAAAGGTAGCCAACTGATCCATAAGAAAGAAAGAAAATCCACACGCAAGCAGCACCTTTATATGAGCAACAACTATTCTGCAAGAATTTTAGAGCACACTATGGTGGGACTGTAGCCAATTCTCATTTGGGCTTTGTGCAGGTTTCCCCATTTGATCCAGTTGCCATTTCAGCAGTTCAGATCTGGACCCAAAGTGTCTCAATTCTGTCTGAATTCTCTGTCTGAATTACTATGCCAAATTCTAGGCATGTGGCTCTTCAGATCTTGGGGCAAACCACACTGATTTTGCTTGTTTTCATCATTTGTATTCTTTCTTATGTGACTAGTCCCACCCCATCTCCCCTTTGGTCACTTGCTGTAAAGCAAGCAATGATGAGAATGAAAAGAGGTTCCTGCTCACAAGTAGACACTATGTGTAAGCAAGAACGTTAATGTAGTGTGTGTGAGGGAGAGAAGAAAAAGCTGAAGGACCACAGGCAGTATTCTTTTTCTGTGGACAATGCGTTCAGCAAATGTCTGGCAAAAGACCCCAACCCAGGCAAGACAGAAACCCTGAAACGCCAAACAAACAAACGGGGGGGAGAAGGATCAGACCCTACTGTGTTAAAACTTAAGCTTAACCTACTATCTTTGTTTTCACCCTTCAAATGCTTAGTTTCGCTGGTGAACTCTGGGATGGTGGAAGACCACTGGGTCTGGGCTCTTTGCTTCAATCTGTTCCACACCTAGATCGACACAATGAACCCCAATCCAGAATTTGGCATTTGGCTGAAAAAGTCTACAGCCTTGGTTCTGATAAAGCAGGGGTCCCCAAAGCCTGGGCCACAGATCGGTCCCCATCTGTGGCCTTGGAAGGATTGGGCTGCCGGGGACAGTTGAACAGTGAGCAGAAGGTAAGCGGCAAGCGAAGCTCCGCCTCCTGTCAGCACGCTCCTAGGGACAGTGGAACAGTGAGCAGAAGGTAAGCGGCCAGCAAAGCTCCGCCTCCTGTCAGCACGCTCCTAATGAGGTTCTAAGCCGTTGCTGATCTAACAGGAGGCGGAGCTTCAATTGCAGCTCACCTCCTGCTCCCGATCACCATTTCCTTTATGAGCTCAATTCAAAGCTATCCTCCAACAACCTACTACATACAAAGTAACCCACCCCCCGTATTTGGAAAAATGGTCTTCAACTAAACCAGTCCTTGGTATCAAAAAGTTGAGGACCACTGTGATAAAGGATTTCATACGAATTTTGTATAGTATTTTGTTGTGTGAAAATAAGCATGAAGTACAGTGGTGCCTTGCAAGACGAGTGCTCCGGTTTATGATGAAATCGCATAACGACAAAGTTTTTGTGATCGCAAAATGATGTTTCCTACGGGGGAATTTCGCTTTGCGATGATCAGTTCCCTGCTTCGGGAACTGATTCTCGCAAAACGACGATTTTCCTACAGCTGATTGGCGGTTTCAAAATGGCCGCAGGGTAAAAAAAAATGGCCGCCTGCTGTTTTCTGGGACGGATTCCTCGCTGCACGGGCAGTGAAAATGGCCACGCTATGGAGGATCTTCGCTGGATGGTGAGTTTCAAGCCCATAGGAACACATTAATCGAGTTTTAATGTGTTTCTATGGGCTTTTTAATTTCACTTTACGATGTTTTCGTTCTACAGCGACTTCCCTGGAACGAATTAACATCGTAATGCGAGGCACCACTGTACTTGAAACCTGGCAGTAGAAATTGGTGGAAAATACTAATGAACCCCTTTGACTCTCCCTTAACTATTATTTCTAGATGCTAACATTCATTATGCTGGCTCGCCTATCAACACTCTGCCCTAATGCTGTTCTACAACGATTAGAACGGCTCATTGAGCCCCTGCGTGCAACATGCTCTACTAAGGTAATACACATGGTACCATTAGAAGACTCGTTTCCTTGCAGACCTATAGATTGCAAGAACCTCTGTGCTCAAGCTAGTCCCTGCCTTTGTTTGCTGAAATCTACTCTCGGAATAAGGGCTGATTGCAGCAAAGCCTTTTGCCTTTGAAAACCATGAGTATGTCTTTGTTTTGCCTCCTACAGCAAAGATGAACCACTTCAACAGGTCCAGTAACCCCTCTTTTGCTTCCATAACCCACCAAAATAGGGGAGTCGGTGGACCTGGAAGTGGCAAGAATCCAGTTTTGGTTTTGAAAAGTGTGTATGCCCTGCTGCTACATAATGCAGGGATGCCTCTGTGACTTTTTTTTTTAAAAAAAAAATTAAATCACCATTCTTGATGGCCTCTGGGAGCAGCAGTTTGCTTCCAATTTCTGATTTATTTAGAAAAACATTAACATTCCCCCTCTATCCTCTAGAGGGCCTGGGGAGGGCAATTTTGTCACATTTTGAAATAAATCTGACATGAAATCATGGGAGCAGGTTCAGGCCTCTATGGCCCAAATCATGCATATTTTGGCCTCTGGACTATTGAAGGTTGGCCACTCCCATATATATCACCCCAGGGAAAAGCAGGGGAAGACAATCTATAATCACAACCAGATACTTGTTTTTGTACTTTTGAATATTTCACTGTACAGTGGTGCCTCGACCTTACGAACATCCTGACTTACAACCATTTCGAGTTACGACCAGCTCTGGCCACAAAATTTTGCTTCGACTTGCGACCGGAGCTTCGAGTTACGATAGAAAGAAAGGCAGGGAAAAAAGGCGGAAAATTCAAACTGCTAACCGTTGGTGGCGAAGAGGCTGCTTCTTTGTAGCTCTTTTGCCCCAGCTGTTTTGGGTTTTTGTTTTGTTTTGTTTTTTTTGCTTCGGCCAGAACAGATTACTCGTACTGTATTTGAATGCATTCTTATGGGAAATGATGCTTCGACTTACAACAATTTTGAGTTACGACTATCTTCTGGAACGGATTAAGTTCGTAAATTGAGGCACCACTGTACTGTTTCATGTTGTGTTTGGGGTTATTTCAAATATGGCTGTAACCTTTATATGTAAATATGTAAAGTAGAATCCATTTGGAATAGCCAAGGCTTTTCCTTCATCTGTTTTGTAGTCAGGTGACCAATGTGATGGTCAAATTGCAGACAGCCACAAGCCTATCAGGCAGGATGATTATTGATATTTTATTTCCAGCATGAAGATCTTCAAGGTGGCCGATTTTCATTATGTTGTTTAATCTGTTTCTTTAGGTAAAAGCTGGTTCTGTGAAACAGGAATTTGAGAAGCAAGATGAGCTGAAACGCTCAGCCATGAGGGCAGTAGCTGCTCTGCTGACCATCCCTGATGTAGATAAAAGCCCTGTGATGGCCGAATTTTCATCTCAAATCAGAGCCAATCCTGAAATGGCATCACTTTTTGAAAGCATTCAAAAAGATTCTAGTTCATTATCTACCACAGAATTAATGGACATGAATTAGAACTCCTCCCAGTCTATTCTGTTCTTTATACAATCCACTGTGCTATGAGGGTGGAATAACATATTCTGAAACTGAATTTAGATACAGATGTCATTTTAAAAATGGCAACTATTTTTATTGAACGAGGTATGATTTCAAAGATCGAGGTGGTGGCTAGTCCTATTGATGTAAATAGGGCAACATCACTTTGTCGCTATCAGTTATGACACAATTCAAATACACGATCATGAGTTTTTGCCAAAATTTATGCATTCACCTTACCTACTTTTACCTGAAGTATTGACAATTATGTTTGCTATCTCTAAAGTGATGGCACTGTGATAGCATTTTAAAAAGCATTTGCAACAGAGAAAATACTGCTGTTCCCAAAAACTAGTCAGTGGCTACTAAGCTTCCATAATCACCGTGGCAGTGGCTTTCATGTGTGCAATTAATACTCTGACTTCCTAGTTTCAGATGATGAATTAAAGCTATCACCCTGATCCTTCTTAAATCTATAGATTTCAAATTATTAAAGTGAAGTGACCCCATTGTCTTCCAAGAAGGAATGCCTTACGCTTAATTACTGGTTTCAGAATGCTCCTGCACCCTCCTTGAACACAGCAGTTTTTCCTGTATTGCACCCTCTGGCTACAGTTTTTGGATTCAAAACAAAACAAAGAGGAGCTGTTACCAAAGCACTGATTATTTCAAACTCTGAAAAGTCAGCATGTTACTCACAAGAGACATTCATTTGGTATGAAGTATGTAGTAGTGAAATGGCACCACCTAGTTATACAAGCTATTGTACTGTTACTTCCCCCAAATGTGTATTGCTGTTTTACGTTTACTGTTCAGCAGAGATAAGGTTGATCTCTTGCAACCATGGATTACTAAGCTTCACTTTTAGGATTTACTCCACTTGAGTCAATCTTTGAATCACTTAAGTGCTCTGTTTATAAAACAGGGTATCACTTTTTGTTCTACCTGAAATGCATCAGAATAAAGTTCATGAATGCATCCCTAACACTTTGCTTCAATTGCAGCTCTCTACCCAATTTTTTTTTTGTTTTTTGGTAAAGTTCTCCTTATACAGTATGTGAAATTGAAAGTAATCACTTAAACAACCATCATTTGTATAGTACAGACATAGAAGTTTTGAGACACCTAATTTTCCTGCCTACCTATACTGGTTAATAATTCAGTCTGCGAGTTGACTGTTTTTTCAATGAAGTTGACTTTCTGGAGGATTTGGGGTCCCTAAACAGCACTAAATCTGATGAAGCATTTTAATATCCCAGCTATTTGAACTATATGATTCAGAAAAAAAAAATCAAGCAATACTGTATGGCTTTAATATTGGTCAAAATCCTGTTGTGTAGTTTCACGCCCTCTGCCGCAGGAAGTGTCCTCTTCAGAAGCAGATTGCCACCTGTTAAGAACATCCTTATTTAATTACGGGGTGCACGTGGCTTGCATGCGAGATGAAGTCACATGCACCCTTTATCAGCCGCAATCAGTCACTGACAAGATCATTCCCACTATGCAGGTGGAACCATCCAACAGGATTTCAGCCATTATATAAAACCAAAATCTTGTGTAAATCTTACTGGTAGTCCTTCCTAGAGTAGGCCCATTTACACATATGTAGACTTATCCTTCAGCAATTGATTCAGTGCTGGAACTAACAACTGGAGTTCCATCTTTACATTTTGACATAAACACATTCTTCCCTTCTTTGAAGGATGGCAACTGTTGCGTACCATCAAATCACATCTGGTTTAGTGACCTTAACAGTTTTTCAAGGTATGTAAGCTTTTTCTTCATGAGAAGAAAAGAGTCCTTGGAAAAAACCTTGATGTTAGGAAGGTGTGACGGCAAGAGGAGAAGGGGACGACCGAAGATGAGATGGCTGGATAGTGTCTGCGAAGCAACCAACATGAATATGACACAACTCCAGGAGGCAGTGAAAGATAGGAGGGCCTGGCGTGCTCTGGTCCATGGGGTCACGAAGAGTCGGACAAGACTAAATGACTAAACACACAAGCTTTTTAACGAGTGGTAGTTCGACCAAAGACACCTAAATGTGGCTCACCAGGGAGAAAAGCCTAAGCTTGAAGGATTTCATAGAAAATTTTGGAAGGGGCCTACAAGGCCATCAAGTCCAACCCCCTGTTCAATGCAGGAATACAATCAAAGCATATCTACCAGGTGATTATCCAAGTTTTTCTTGAATGCCTCCACTAACTCCAGAGGTAACTGTCATGCTGCTCTAACAGGAAGTTTTTCCTGATATTCAACCGATATCTGGCTTCCTTTAACTTGAGCCCATTGTTGTGTGTCCTGCATTCTGGGATAATGGAGAACAGATCTTGGTCCTCCTCTGTCTTTCAAATATTTGAAAAGTGCTATCATATCACCCCTCAGCCTTCCTTTCTCAAGGCTAAACATGCCCAATTCTTTCAACCTTTCCTCATAAGGCTTGGTTTCCAGCCCCGATTATCCTCTGAACCTGTTCCAATTTGTTAGCATCCTTCTTGAAGTGTGGTGTCCAGAATTGGACACAATACTCTAGATGAGTGCTGACCAGCGCTGAATAGAGAGGAACTGGCATGTTGTGGGATTTGGAAACTATACTTCTATTAATGGACCCTAAAATAGCATTTGCCTTTTTTGTGGCCACATCACACTGTTAGCTCATATTTAGCTTCTAAGCTACGACAATTTGAAGACCCTTCTCACTTGTAGTTTTGCTGAGCCATGTATCCCCCATCTTGTAACTGCAATTGGTTTCTTTTTCTGAGGTGCAGTACTTTGCACTTATCCCTGTTGAATTTCATTCAGTTGCTTTTGGCCCAGTGCTCCAGCCTATCCAGATAATTTTGAATTTTGTTTCTGTCTTCTAGGGCAGAGGTCCCCAACCCCTGGTCTGCGTCCTGGCAGCAGTCCGCGGCCTATCCAGGACCAGGCCGTGGACACAGATCCACCCCCTGCAAGCGCTGTTGTGTGCATTTGCGCAAGCACGTTCTGCTCGCTGTGCGTGCATGGTGGCCCCCTGCAAGTGTCATTGCTCGCATGCATGCAAACTTGATTGTGCACATGCAAGGCCCCCCAAGTGTGATGTGTGCGCCTGCAAGCTCTGCCCCCCCTGCAGGCACACCACACAGTCTGTGGTTGGGGACCACTGTTCTAGGGGGTCAGCTATTTTGCCCAATTTGGTATCATCTGCAAATTAGACAAGCATTCCCTGCACTCCCTCATCCAAGTTATTAATACTGTAAAAATATTGAAGAGCAGTAGGCCCAGGACTGAGCCTTGGAGTACCCCACTAATTACCTCCTCCCAGTTAGAGGACCCATTAATCATCACCCTCTGAATACGATTCTGTAGCCAATGGTGTTTTCACCTGACACTTGATCTATCCAGACCACACCTAGTTAGCTTGCTAATCAGGATATCACGGCGCACTCTGACAAAAGCTTTGAAATCAAGATATACTACATCTACCACATTCTCTCTATCAGGGAGGTGACCTAATATCATCACCCTCTGAATACGATTCTGTAGCCAATGGTGTTTTCACCTGACACTTGATCTATCCAGACCACACCTAGTTAGCTTGCTAATCAGGATATCACGGCGCACTCTGACAAAAGCTTTGAAGTCAAGATATACTACATCTACCGCATTCTCTCTATCAGGGAGGTGACCTAATAAACAAGATGAAGTTAGTTTGGGAGGATTTGTTCTTGACAAATCTGTGGTGCCTTCTAGTTATTACTGCCTTATTTTCTAGGTGCTTGCACAATGACTTTACAATCTCCTCCAGAATTTTGCCTGGGACTGATGTCAGGCTGACTGGCCTGTAGTTCCCAGGTTCCTCTTTTCTGCCCTTTTTGAAGATAGGGACATTAGCCCTCCTCCAATCCTCTGGCACCTCACCTGTTTCCCATGATTTCAAGAAAATAATGGATAGCAGTTCTGAAAGTTCTTTAGCCAGTTCCTGGCTTTGAGGCCTAACTAGGCTTGGTTCTAATTCCCAGCTAGTACTGGGGTAGCTTGCTTTCTGAGCAGAAAAATCTTGGACAGAGCTAGGCCTAGCTATGCCACAAAGCTAGCCTAGTCCTTTTCTCCCAGGTGAGCCACATTTAAGCATGTATCAGGTTGAACTCCCAGGATGGACAATTGCTCATCCAGGCTTGAATGCTACATCCCTTGCTGACTCTTTGCCATAAAATTTAACTTGTTTCCAGAACTGACTAGACCACCTCCTGTTTCACTTTCACTGCTGAGACTAGTTCAGTTTTAGATTGAGGCTGTCAAGTTTCCTTAGTATTGTGTTAGCATTTATTTGTGTTATTAGCCTCATGGTGCAGTAGTTAACCTGCTGTATTGCAGCCAAAACTGTGTTCATGAGCCAGACAACATCCTTATTATGTTGATATAAACTTGAGTTTGTCGCTATATGGACAAAAGGAGCTTAAACAATGTGTTTTAAATACACATCTAAAAATATGTGAATATAACAGAACTGGTTGTGATATGACCTTGAGACCTTTATTTCCTCTAATCAAATGCATGTGTTCAATTCTTCTGTAGAAGACCAAGCAGTAATCAAATACTTGCTTCAAGGAAATGCTTGCTTATGGGAGCTCGGCATGCATAACGTGACCACTTGACAATTACTCCTCTCCTTTTTTTGCTTGCTGGCTATCTAACAGTGGGATTACAACTGCATTTCGCTTGACCCAGTATGGTACACACAAAGCACAGCAGTTTTCCAACACTTTGGAGCTTTATTAAATACAGTTGTACAAGAACAACAATTTATTCATTTTCCTCACTGCGCAATCTGGCATTTGGATTGGTGACTTTGATTGCAAGCTGGGCTGCTCTCTCCACAATTACCTTTCGATTCTTGGATGAAACATTATGTGCAATCTCTGCACAAAAGGACCTAATTAGGGAGAAAAAACAGGATGTCAGGAGTAGACCTGCAGAAGCCTGCTGTGGACACGGAGCCAGCTTTCTCCTTGGTCTGTCAGATGCAGTACACTTAGTCAAAACTCCTAGTGAAATTCTAAACCCCCCCCTTTTGCAGTGACTCTGAAACAACCAAGCACGACATATACATTGTTGTCCGACTTGCCATTTAAAAAAGAACAAAGACATTGTATCTAGTGCAACTATTTCTAGTTACTAGAATGAAAAATAGCCAAATAACTAACTAATCTCCTGCCATGTTCCCCCGAACATAAGGGTCTTATATTAAGTTTTGCTCCAAAAACACACTAGGGCTTATTTTCAGGGGATGCTTTATTTTACAGTCATGTTATCATCCTTTAGTTACTGCACAATGGTGGACGGCGAGGTTTCACTTAACTGGGGCTTATTTTTCAAGTAGGGCTTATAAGCATCCTAAAAAATCATACTAAGGCTTATTTTCAGATGAAACAGGGTACACTGCCCAACATCCCCTCTCTGGAGAATTTGGAGGCCCCTCTGGAACAAAATGAAGGGTCACAGTCAAGTATGAGAAGAGGAAAGCACAAGGGGAAACCTTGTTGTGCCAGCGGAAGTCTGCCTATTTAACACAGGATGAAATCCAGTGGATCCACCCTTGCTTCTTCAGAACAGAAGGAATCCTTTCATTCCAGCGAAGGCTTCCTGCTGAAGGAAAAGAATTTTGCCTCATTTCTCCCTCCCCACTATTTCCATATTACTGAGAGAACTGGGGGCTCCATGGGGACTGAGAAAATTTCCATCCTTCCCAGAGCTCTGCCAAGCGCATAAATCTAAAAGCACTGAAGTATTTTTCACTTTTACATTTGTGTCAAGGAGCTCAGTCAGCATTTTAGTCTGCTAACACTTTAGGGGGAGACTGCACAGAGAAACCAAGGTGGTGTATACGATGCTGAACCAAGGCTTCCCAGAGCCAAGTCCAGCGGTTCCCATACCATGACAGAAACACTTTTCAGGCAATGCTTAAGGAGCATCAATCAATCTTCACAGCAGTTTAAAATGCTTCAAAAACATAATGATCCTATAAAAAGTCAATCTTCTCTCTTGCACCCTACTTTCAAATTTGTATGGATATTGTACTGGCCTACAGGATTCTATGACGGTGTGACAGAATTCTTCTCCCAGACACAAGCAAAGGAGGCAAAAGAGTGGAAGGGAGACTCAATGAAACACAGGCCTCTGCATTACTGCTGGGAAAGAGAATCTTGTTTGGCCGACTCCACATTTAACAGGCCAGTTCAAAAGGGTGATCTGAACCTCTGAAAAGCCTTTATAGTACTCATCACTTTTAAATTACCTAATTTTCTAAAGGATTGTCTTTACTCATACAGTCTTGCCCATGTACTAAATTCTATTTCATCTTTCTTCCCATTAAGTTCACGTGTGCACTAGGGAACAGAGCTTTATCAACAGTGGCCCCAAATCTTTGCAACTTTTTTTCTAAATTCTAGACCCTGTCCATTCAATTCTGGCTTTTAGACATGCGTTGAACGCCTTCCTTTCCATGGATACCTCTGATTCTAAAGGCTGGCAGTACAGTTCTTGGGGCATCTGTCTTGGTGACATCTTAAAATACTAACTTTTGTATTTTTTTAATGGGAGCTTTTGTGGGCAAGTCCGCTTTGTCAGACAACTTGTTTCTCACTTTTTCTGTTGCTTCAACAGAACCTATTCCTAAGAAAAGCTACTTAAAATGTCCCTTCAAAAACCTTTAAAACTAACAGCACGACTCTATGATTTGCATCCAGCTACTGCTTCTGACCGCAACCCAATACAGATCAACTAAGCATGACAAAGTGTTAACTTAAAAGAGTAATGATCTATTTTCAAACTTACTTGTTGCTCATCATAAGCACCTCAAGCTCCTTGACATTATGCACCAGAAACTTCCTGAATCCTGAAGGCAACATATGCTTTGTCTTCTTGTTACTACCATACCCAATGTTGGGCATCAAGATTTGACCCTTGAACCTTCTGCGAACTCTGTTGTCGATACCTCTTGGCTTGCGCCAGTTACGCTGCAGAAATTCAAAGAGAAATGGGCAACATGAGCTCCTGAACATTTCCATCAAGGCTTTGATGATATATGATTTCTCAAAGCAAATGAAAAAGAACCAACTACCAATGAACATCCAGAACATTTTACACCAAGGGGGAGTTATATATACTTGTTCATTAAAAACACACTTGCCTTGATTTTAACATAGCGATCAGACTGATGACGGATGAACTTCTTGGTCCTCTTCTTGACAATTTTAGCCTTGATAAGAGGTCTTAGGGCAGGCATGGTGTCTACGAAAAACAGAGCACAAGTAAGAAACCACATATAACAAGGAATAAGTGACTGCTGTAAGCCTGTTGCAGAGGTAACTTCCGATCACTAGCTTAGTTCAGAGCCAGGAATGGAATGGGTACTTTTCTGCAGCTTCTCTCCCTCCCGTGTCCAAAGCTGGAAGAGTATTAAAGGCTCTCCAGATGCGATCCTGGGAGGTCAATAATTTATGGATCGAACCTTTCTTCTTTTTTCGTATTTAATGACAAGCCTTTAGAATAGCAGAACCTTAGAAACTGCTCAGAGCCGTCTACATTTGAAACAGGTGTAAGCAATTCATGGCCCTTCACATGTTGTTGGACTGTACATTCACTATTGATTTTTCATGGTTAAAGCTGATGGGGCTGGAGCTCAGCACCTGAAAGGCTAAAAATTATCCACTTGTGGTCTAACATGCACACACACCCATATTTTGCTGCAACATCTTTCCACAGAAGAATTTCCATTTCTAACATGGCTTTGTTTCATAAAAATAGCAAGACTAAATGGATGTAATCATTGTAAATCGGGACACTTCCAAAGACATAACTGACTTTTCCCCAGATTCTACTGCTTACTTCCTTTGCCAATAAGACTGTTACTGCTCCTAGCCCAGCATCTAACCACACTCTGTATCATGGACTTGCTCCTAAACTTTCGCACTTTCAGGAGACTGCAGGGGCAGACTACACTGCACTTTTTTACAGCATCTAGGCTAGGCTGTCAAATGCTGTGGTGCAACTGTGAGGCTTCCAACTATATACACCAGAAAAACATTCTCATGTTCTGTTTACAGCCCACTTCCTAGGTTGATGTCCAGCTTTTGTTCTCCTCATGAAACTGACACAATTGGAAAATGTTGATCGCATGGGATTCAACTGCAAGGCCTTGATGTATGTCTGTATGCACGCATGCACGCACACACAAACATTTTCAAGTAAAGCTGACAGTCAAAACAACTCGAGGATGTAACCCAAAGCTCCCAATATGACGGGATACTGTGGCCAGTTCTATGTGGATAGAACAGTTGGCCTACTTACAGACTCTACTGCACTGCATATGACCCTCTGAGAATAATGGGGTGAAAAATGGGGCACTCTAGGGAGTCACTGGATCCAAATACTGGATCAATGGGAGGGGAAATCCAAATATAACTCTGCAGCAGGTTTTCTGGTAGCATGAAGAGGAAGAAAGTTCTATCTTGCTAGTATGCAGGAACCAGTGCTACATCGGATACAGACCAAAGCCCACCCCTCCCCGCCTTATTCCTGTAGACCATCCTGACCACATCTGATGTGATTGAGGAAGCTAAGAAGTGTCAGGACTGGTAAGCTTTTGGATGGAACTGGGGGAAAACATCAGGTGTTTTATTGTGGGAGGCCTGCAGTTCTATGGTGGAGCCCAGAGCAGGTGATTCGCACGCAGAAGGTCCCAGGTTCAATTCTTCTGGTAGAGCCAAGAAAAGAATTGTGCCCAAAGCCCCTGGAAAGCTGCTGCCAGTCAGAGTTGACGATACTGGGCTAACAGGACCAATGGTATGACTCAATATAAAGCACCTTGTATTCTCCTAAACACATCTCCCAAATTTTTTTCCCAGAGGTTTTTTTGCATGGTAATAACTAGAATTGTCTGCAAACTCCCACAAGCTTCGTAGGAGAGTAGGGGGGAGAAAACACCAAATTTTCAGCCCCTTTAGAGTCAACAAAACATTTCTAAAATGGGAAATTAGAGATGACTACATCCAGAACTTTTCACGTGGAGGCTTCTATACCATAGGGTTTCCCCCTTACCTTAGGACTGGCTTATAAAGCTTATACATTTACCTTACTTGTTTCTTTTACTATTTAAATGCCTCTTGTTATTTGAAAATGCTTAGGAATAAAAATCAGGCAAGTCTGCCATTAAAGTCCCAATAAATTTAAGCCAGAATTTTAAGGAAAGGCTTTGAGGAATCCAGCAAAGATGGTATAAAAATAAGGATTTGTCATGACATGGACATTCCCAGAGCATGAATTAAACTCACTTCTAAGTTTTCTTAAAACCAAGTTCTTTTGGATACTAAAGTCACCTATCTTCTGCTCATGTCATACTTCAGCTGTGTATGTTTAATTTTAGCAAGCACAGGCATATCTTAACATAATAGAATTAGGACCATGTGACTTCTCATTTGATAGAAGACTACAACCCCCATCAAAGTCAACTAGCACAACCTGTGATAAATGATGAGACATGCAGTCCAACAATATCTTAAGGGTTTCAGGCTCTCTGTCATTATGTGACAGAATTATAAGAGCACTACCACACTCTGTAAGAGTAACACAGCCTTCTATTTCAGCCCTTGGGTGACCTTACATACAAGACCCAAGATCTTTTTGAAAATGCATGTTAAGATGCCCCCAAACCATAAAATGCTCTGCAACTGTTATGCTTTGTTTCGACAAACATCACCCCCAAACTGTTTGGAAAAAAGGCGAGAAGACTTCTTTAAGCATAAACCTGAGAGCCACGACAATATAACTACCATGAATTTAACCAGGTCATGATTTTTCAGGAAAGACAACACTCTCTACCTAGAAAACGGTGGAAAGCATTGCCCTAACTTGCTATCAATCCAACAGCACGCCATTTTTGTTAATGTTACTATGGTTGCAACTGCCCACATGTTCATCTGGGGAGAAGCCATATCAAACTCTGCAGAATTTCATTCAGAGCACTGCGAAGATACATAATTTTTGCATCCGCAACAGGTAACGAACCACACGAATTCCCACCATCAAGTCACGTAGGCTTTTAAGCGTGTGCCGCGATCCTCTTTGCAAACAAAACCCATTAAAGGAGAGCAACAGCCGAGCCCTCCATCTATCCTTCACACCCACCCACACCCACTCCCATCCGAAAGACCATCACAAACCAACCGATTCATTTATCGGATAATACAAGGAGCATTTCTTCCTTCACGTGGGATCTCCAGGCAGCCTCCCGGCCGGGCATCCAACCCAACCCTTGCCTTCTGGGAGCCCCCACCGGATACCTTCGGGACACGCACGCCTGAAGGGCAGAGATGGGGAAGACTGCGGGAGGGGGGGGGCTCTCGCCTTCCACGTGGACTACAACGCCCATCAGCCCGCCATGCAGGAGGTACATCCCAGCATCCCCAGAGCCACAGGCTCCCAAGGACCAATGGGCCCCGTCCCTTCCCACAAACCCAGAGGCTCAAGGGACTCGGGCCAAAAGGCGCGTTCCCACCCACCCCCGGCAGAGATGGGGAAGACTGCGGGAGGGGGGGGGCTCTCGCCTTCCACGTGGACTACAACGCCCATCAGCCCGCCATGCAGGAGGTACATCCCAGCATCCCCAGAGCCACAGGCTCCCAAGGACCAATGGGCCCCGTCCCTTCCCACAAACCCAGAGGCTCAAGGGACTCGGGCCAAAAGGCGCGTTCCCACCCACCCCCGGCCGGCCTCTCCTGCCCACGCCGGGAGCAGCCGCAGGCTCTCGGGGCCCCCTTCGGGCCAGGATGCCGGCGGATTCCCCGGGCTTACCGGCAGGAGAAGAACAGCAGCCCCAGCAGGCCCCGAGCGCCGAAAGAAAGAGGGAAAGCGGAAGCCGCAAGGCTTGATGGGAAGGCGGAGACAGGTCCTGGTAGGTCAGGTCAACTCCCTCCCAGGGTCCCGGATGAGGGAAAAAAAGCGGATCTCCTTAGGCGTTTCAGACTCCTGGCGGAAAATTTCAGTCAATTCCTACACAAAAAAACGCAATCAAAAAGGGCTCAGGAAAACACTTCGGTCACTATCTGTGATTTCAGCCACTACTACGACTTGAATACAAGCGTTAAGGACCTGGAGACGTCACTCCCGACAACACGTGCCACGGAGGTGCAGTCTACAAATATAAGAAAAGCTTAGACGTACCAGTCCTATCAACAGAAGAAGAAACTCAAGATTTGAGGTTTCCGAAGAGGTGGCCGAGTCTGTGCAAGCATTATCAGGCAAAATCCCGAAGAAACAAAACAAAACGAAACACTCCGTTCCATTCCGTTTCTTTATGTCTGGCGAAACGGACGTGTCCATGAAAGCTTACTTGTTTAAAGGGTCGGGATAAACCGCCTTTTACTTTATCCCATATACAGAATAGTTAGTCTTTAAGGTGCCACCTGTTTTTGTCTTGTTTCATTTCGTTTCACTCTTTGGGGAGAACTGGGATGACGGGCAAGAGCTGCCTGCCCAGAAACAAAAGGTTATTCAGGCTCAAGTCCCATTGAATAACCCTGGACGACGGAAGGGGGCTGTTTTCAAAGAAATCCCATTGCTCTACTCCCCCCATGTATGTCGTCCACCATGATTATTCTAGGTATTGAGGGGGGGGGGCGGAGTCTGCGTTTTCAAAGAAATTCCATTGCTTTTCTCCCCCCATGTATGTCGTCCACCATGACTATTTCTTCTGCCCCTGTTGCTAGGAAAAGACTTGCAAAGGGCTCGGAAGTGCAACCCTCTATACCTTCCTATTTTTAATGTCTACGCAACAGAACGGACGACGGGTGAAGGAGCCTTGGAGGCACTGGAGTCGATGGGATGCGCGCGCGCACACACACACACACACACGCACACACACACACACCCTCCGACCTTTTTCCTGCCATTATTGCATTAAAATTCCTCGCCGCTCCGGCTTTCTATGGACATCTTTTTCTTCTGCCCCTGTTGCTAGAAAAAGACTTGCAAAGAGCTCGGAAGTGCAACCCTCTATCCCTTCCCATTTTTAATGTCTACGCAACAGAACGGACGACGGGTGAAGGAGTCTTGGAGGCGCTGCAGTGGATGCCGCTGCTACAGAGACACCTGGCGGTGGAAGCTTGGTAGTGCAAGTGGAGTCTTTGTCGCGCGCGGTTCTGGCTGCCTCCCGAGTTGCGCGTGCCGCTCGTATGCATTTTCTCTTCTAAAGGCACCCCTTGGATAGCAACTCCTGCGTTTCTAAACATGTTGCTTTTTAGGGCAGATACAGAAATTTGGAGATCTGTGGTTTGATCAAGTAAGGCAATTCTCCCACCCACCCTGCTCCATGCATGGTTGGCTGTGGTCACTTCCTCTCTGGATGCCATCTGACTGGTGACTAATCTCCTTGTGGGTAGCCAGGCCGACATACAGGTTGCCTGAAGGGCTCTACCCTAAGCCTCACCAGCCAGGTAAACTCTCAAAATTATTCCTCATTGGTGTAGACCTCAAGAACTCCATGCAATAAAGCAATAAGGCTTATCAAAATTCTCCACCCTATTTATGGGCAGAGAAATTGCAAGGAGGTGTTTATCAAAGTTCTTCTAGAAAAGGAGAAATGCTCCAAGTGGTTTTTGTGGGTTTTTCGGGCTCTTTGGCCGTGTTCTGAAGGTTGTTCTTCCTAACGTTTCGCCAGTCTCTGTGGCCGGCATCTTCAGAGGACAGCACTCAGAACACGGCCAAAGAGCCCGAAAAACCCACAACAACTATTAGATCCCGGCCGTGAAAGACTTCACGAATACAGAAATACTCCAACATTATCTCAAGCTGAGGCTTATCATTAGAACTGATTTTAGAAAAGCTTTGTTCTTTTCCACCCTAAAAATGTTTGGGGATTTTAATACTGCCACTGCAAAGGTTAACAACAACCACTGCATTAGTGGTTCAGCCACCCTTTTGCCTCCTCCACAAATCTCTCTTCCTCCTGTCGTCCTGCAGTGGTGTTAGCGAGGAGGCAGTCAGCCAAATATGATTGAGAAACTTTGGAAATAATTATTCTAAGTGGTTTAAGAGGTACTTATCCTTCCAATCACCACAATATCAGTAAGTATAAAAACTGTTTTAAAAAACTAGATTGAAATTACACATATTGCTCTTTTCCTAAAAGGAGCAAGAATAGGAATTGTATCAACTTTGAGGGAGGTTTTGGAGGAACATAAGATAATTTTTTCTTCTGCACACATACCGTGAGGGTTTCTGCAGACAATACTAAGCATCCTGATAGGTTCATAAGGAGATAAGCCACATTTCACACCAACTGAAGCTTCTGGACTCTCAAGGGTAGCCACATACAAAACATATTGCGGTAGTCAATACAGAGTGCAAATAAAATATGGTTGACAGTTGTCAAGTTGGTCAGGCAAAATCCAAAGAAACAAAACAAAGACAAAAACATGTGGCACCTTAAAGACTATTATATTTTAATGTAAGCTTTCTTGGACGCGTCCACTTTCAGATATAAAAAAAAAAAACCAGAATGTCGATGAAATATCAGTTTCACATTCTAAATGTTCATTAGTTAGATGCAGTAATTAGGCCAATGTTTGTTTTAGGGTCCTGTTGCAAAAATTCCTTAAGAAGACAGAAAACAGATACTAGGTCTGAGAGGAGATGGGGGAGAAGAGAGAGAAAAAGGGGGGGAGGTTGAAGATGGTATTGAACCTCAAGAGGGAAAAGAAAGAATAAAAGAAGTTAGCAGAGGAATCGTATGTTAATGTAGGGAATATAGACAGTTTTTTTTTAAATCTTAGAGTCTTGTGATTAGAGATGGGCTTGTGAAGAAAATAACAATGGCAGTGGATAACAGCAGAGCTGTTACATTTGGTAATGGCAAATGTACCACTTTGCCAACTTGGTTCCTCTCCAGTCAGTGCACTAAACTGAATTGTGCAAAGGCACTCCTCAACCACTGCTAACTGATCATGATGATGATGTGCCATCAAGTGAATTCTGACTTATTGCAACCCTTTTCAGGCTTCTCTACTAGGTAGAGAGTACTCAGAGGTGGTTTCTGTGGCGTCCGCCCAGGTCATAAATATTCATATGCTATCTGCATAGACCAATGGGAGTGCTGGAAGGGTGGAGTCACGATATACAAGGGACTCAGCAGGAGGAGGGGGAGTTAGGTAATTTTAGTTGAAGAGATTGAAAGTTTTGGACTTTGGGCGAGGGAATGGGGGTTGAGAGTGGATTTATATTTATTCTATTTGTACCCTGCCTATCTGGTCAATACTACCACTCTGGATGAAGGAGAGTGTTTATTAAGAGTTAACAATACTGCTTAAACTATCATCATCTGTAACAATAAACAATTTCTGTTTTGTTCTTTTTAAATATGGCCTGGACCTCGATTATTAATAATAGGTAATGTTGATGTAATCAACTGGTGGCAGCTGAGGGGCATGTAGCATGAACTCTTAGTTTGGTGAAACAAGCAGGGGTTATGTGGGGATCGTGACAAATTGGCGGCACAGTGCTGAGATACAAAACGATCCAGTAAAAAGATTGAATGGGCTTGAGTTTAAAGGTATTCCTAGCTGGAAGGGGTTAGGATCTGAGGTAAGAAGTGGTTACCCGTTAGAGTTTTATTGAATTCTGTTTCTGGGCTTCTGAACCCAGATCTGGGCAATCCTAAAATAAGGAAAATACTTCTCAAGAGAAACCATTTTATCTCAGGATTTACAAGACCTAGTGGCTAGCTCAAAATCCAGAGCTCTGAGGGTAAAGAGCAGTGGTGGATAGAGTGGAAGCCTAGGTCAGGGTAGATCTGAGGTGATAATTAAAGCTAAGCAGAAAGTTGTTACTGTATTGTATCTGGAGACAAAAATTGCCGACAGAAATATTTTGACCTGTGTTGTGAGCTTGAGAGTGGCTGAGGCAAGCTGCTTGGAAAAGTGCAACCTAGTTATAAGGACAGCCACTGAAAGAGAGAAAAGGGCTTGTACCTTTGGCTTTCTTAAGGGAAAAGAACCAGTCCAGGTTAATAAAAAATTGTATTGTTTATGCCGCCCAAAAGAAGTAAAAAGTTGGTTATGGAGGCACAGGTTGAGCCCCAGGGTGCTGAGGGAAATGGGAACCCTTAAATTCAGAGTGAGGAAGAAACTGAGGGCTCACTAATAATTGCTTCAGAGGGAGAAAATATCCAAAGCTCCCAATATTTGGAAAAATGGAATTTAAACTGAGGGAGCTAGCTAGGAAAAACCAATTAGAATTGGAAAAAGGAAACAGGAAACGGGAATTTGAGCAAGAAAACAAGAGAAGGGAATTTGAGCAAAGAGAAAAAGAAATGCAGTTCCATATTGAGATGAAGAAATTGGAATTAACTGCTCAAAATAATAATAATTCCAGTGTGGGTAATCTCTCAAAAATCAACCTAAAGAAATTTCCCCACTATCTTTTGGGGCACATTTCACGCAACTTGGGACATGTTTCATGCAGTATCTCAATAAATGGCTGGACCAGGAACATGTTAGACCAAACACCTTAGGCCAAATGAAAAAATGTAAAATTATTCAATTTTACCAGGGGAGTTATGTTATCTGGTTAAGGTTAAGGATCCTAAAAATGTGCTGCAGGCTTATGAATATGCTGATTCTATTAGTGGAATGAGAGATCCTCGATTTTCTGAGGTAAAAACTGACAGAAAATGATGAAACGACAGGAGGAGCGTGTCCTCATCCAGTAGAGATTGTTACAAACAGCTATGATGTCACCTGTCCTTCAAGGTTCAGGCTGGAGTGTTAACATCCAATGGTGGTCGGAAGGCGGGACATCAGGGGGAGGAGCTGGGATATATAGGGGTGTGTATGTGTGTGAGGGTCAGATCAGGATCTGTGAGTGTTGAGATGAGATAGTGATCAGATTGTGTGGAGATATGAGTCT